TCAGTCTCAGTTCGCGATTCTAAAAAATGTCTTGGCAGTCAATCAGGTCAGTTCACTACCTCCAGACTGACAGTTTGAACCGCAAAGATGAACTGACAACTGACTGATTGACTGATAGCAACTCTGCTCTCACCTTGCAGCTAGCGCGACCAGATAAGACGCTATAATAATCACAACAACCTCTCAGCTTCCACGCTTCTTACAACAACCTCTTAACTTCTTCGCTCCACCAATAATTTCCTGAATTGGTTGTTAATCACCTCTACCTCTCTACCATCGACCAAGATGTTGGGCAACCATGGGATCTGCACTTCCGAGAACCATGACCTTCTTGCTTGGCTAGCTCTCCACGAATCAATGCTGAACGGAAGGCTCTCTCGAACCAGCGACACCTCTATTTGGCGTGAGGAGATGGACCAGGCCATGTTCAGGAGAGGTGAGTCTCTAGAACCATCAAACAATATCGAGAGGACTAACAGAACAGGCGACTACAGCGTTGAAGGACTGATTGGCGAAACGCCTGAACGAAGACTAGCATCACTTGTCGGAAATCTGTCCTTTGTTCGAGAGTTCGAATTAGCAGTGGACTTCATGGGCGTTGCATCAACCATCCCATTGAATGCAACTATTGAAAATTTCGCTGACTTGTCTTCCTGGAACGACAATGCACTCATCCTGAGTTTTCAAGCGTTGCAGGCGTGCAAACAATTACCAGACGACCGGGTTGTGGTTATCACTCCAACCGACGATGATCCAAGCAAAATCGACCTCTATCCCACTATATTTACGCTTTTCTTGCTACCATGGGATAACATGTGGACATGTGTGCTGTGGGATCACAAGAAGCCAGGAAACGAGTGCACCGTTGCGCCCAATACATCGATTCCTCGATCCGATAAGCTCCAAGCAGCGATCAAGGCGTACATGGCGTACAGGGCTCGAAAGAAGTTGGACGAAAACGGTATGGAGGTTGACGAAAACACCACAGAAATTGATGAGAACGCCATGGACATCGACGAGAACCAGCCCGAAGTACCGGAAGAATTTTTGAATGCGCTCAAAGTAAGTTGGCTATTCCATCTTTTGCCTGTTGTTCAGGAAGAGAACCATATATTAACGGGAAATCAGGGTAGTTCGCGTAAGGCAGCAGGCGGCCCGAAGGCGATGTGCGAAGCCTGCCAGATTTTCAAGTCTTCTCTCAAGTTTGACGATGAATGGAAGTTCGCCATTTGGGCTCTTGAACAAATTGACGAGCGGTTTCCAGATAAGTTGGACTTGACCATGTCCCCTCTCCCGTCAAGAAAACTGGAAATATTGGGAGGTAGGCGTCTTACGGATGGAAACGTTCCTCTTCCTGCTTCGGACGGTTCATCCTCAGGTTCCGATACCGAGTAGCTTGCCTCGTCTGGTTCTGGTTTGTGGGGTTGGTGTTCTGGCTTTGGGAGTGGCGGTGGCGGAGGCAAAAACAGCATTCAGCGAGAGGATAAGTCTGGTTTATTATGTAACATAAAAAGTAGTCAAAATGATTGAAGTTGACGTGGCACCTCTTGCCATGTACTTCACAATCGACCTAGTTGATTTGGTCTACAGTTGCCTGGAGACACTAATTTGACATGCTTATTTTACTAAACAACGACTGCTTGTGAATAGCTGGAGAAACCGCCAAATTGGCACCTAGATCCTCTACTACACTGTAGACTACAAGAGTACAAAAGGAGACACAAATACGATGTTAGCGGCAATGTAGACATGTAGAATGCATTCTGTCTTAACACTCTTGCAGAGGCGGTTCTTTGTAGCAGGCTGAAAGATGAGCTCATCACTCGGTTCTTTCCTTTAGATAAAGTGATTCCGTGTCCGAGCCTGTCAAACAAAACGACGCAGAGCGAGCGATCATCAAAGCGCGTAGTTCGTGCCTTGCTTCAGAAGGAAGCGGTGATTGGTGCGACGAACTACCCGTGATTGAAGCCCTGCTTGACATCTCGTTAATATCGCGGCTCAGCGGTGGATACACAACGCCGTGTCAAGTCTTTAACGGAAGGAGATGCAGTGCTGAGAGTGCTGTGCGAACCAAACGACCGCACGTACGTCGAACAAATCATGAGTGTGAATCTGATGCTGGGATCGGCACCACAAAGGCTCAATCAAGTAATATTACCAACGCTACTATAACACTCCCGCTCATATTCTTCTAAAGTATGAGGTTCCCATAAACGCTGACAACACAGTCGGAGGTTTTGTCCTTCGACATTGTCAACATCTCAGCCAACGAGCTCCTGCGTCAGCAACCTCTCCTGCCCACTCAGGTAGTGGTGCTTCTCCAACCATCGTATTTTATCCTTGGCCCTCTTCAAACTCAATTTCACCTGAGCTTCCTTGAAGGCAGTAGGTACATCCTTGGCTATCTTACTAGCGTCTTCGATGTGTTTGACCACACTCTTGCCGACCTTGCCTGTCGTAGCCTTGAATCCGTCCCTGCAGCAGGTTTCGATGATTTCTATCGTTGATCGACGGCGGGGTTTTGGTTTGGCATCAAAAAAGGGATAAGGATCGAATGCGACGTACTCTGGAGGTGGATCGTGGTTGGTGGGATGTTTGTATCGACGTGTGGATCTTCGCGGTCGACGTGTACGTTGCTCCAAAGCCGCTACTGTCATTGGAGATGTAGGTGGAAGACTTGCGGCCCGCCCCTCTAAGACGTGAAGCGTAGATGCCGCCAGTCGATGCAGTGCGAGGTTGTTCTCGCTCGCAGTCGCACTAGGAAGATAGATACCGAATCGGCGGTCATCACTGACGCTGTGACCGGTCATCCTTGTCTGCGGCCCAGACCCAAACACTGCTGCGTATGTTCCTCCTCTGTTTTCGGTTGAGACTTCGGGTGCAAGCTCGATGCGAGACGAGTTGGTGGTACGAGGAAGGGCTGTATCGGGCGCAACGCGAGCTGGCGATAGGGTCGGCGCATTCTGCAACGTTAAAGTGTTAAGTTCTTCTCGCAAGGCATCCACCCGGGTGTTCCTTTCAACCTCGTAGACCCTTATTTCTGGTCTTGTGACATGATCCCTGGGAAGCGAAATCGGTCGCGGTATCTCATTGAGTATCCACATCAGAGTTGCCGGCCTGCTTTTGAGTGAACCGAAAGGCACAACTCATGAGACGAGGACGCCTGGAGGGGTAGGAAAGAATGTAATGAGGGGTCTTGTACCGTCATAGTGCATGGTGTAATTGCGATAGCCGGTTCTATCAGCGACTGTCTGCTCGCAGTGGTTGACCATGAATGGTTCTGGTTCGCCTAAAGTCATAGTATCCGCGACGCGCCCTGCGCGCTATAGAACGATGGCTTTCCAAACGGGTGTATATAATTGGCGCGCTCTAAAATTCAAAGGGATAATAGCGATTGCTGTCAGGTCTACCTATTTGGCGCATTGCAGACGCGCCTGTGGGTGTATATCATGGGCTAAAGGCGGATGTTTGGAAAAGAAGCTGGGTGAGGGCGTGTGGAGATGGATTTGGGTTCTCTTGGCGAAAACCGAACCCGTCACAATGACCGGTAGCCTTTCTCTTCCCACCAATACAACACGACAAAACATCGCCATCGCTATACGCCCTGCTTTGTATCTAATTCTGAACAATGCCATCTGCGTAGATCATCGGGCTACCTCCATCAAGCAAATGTCCGCCCTACGGCATACTGTGCCGTGATTGTGCAACAACCCCGACCAACCAATAGACGAGAGATCTCATCCAATGAAATGCTTGTGGTATGTGTCTTTACCCTCATAACGGAATACACTTGAGACTTTACTAATCACATCGCAGGTGACCTTGGAGACTGGGGAAATATTGGCAGCACGTATTCTTATATAGCTGACAAAGTTCCCTGGCTTCATATCCCATGGCGAGAGATTTAATGTCCGTGTCGACGAAGGGATAGCCCTAGCCCAAGGGACTCTTGCAGAGGCAATGCCTCTTACATCTTGTGCACCGACACGAGGCTTACGCTCTGTACGTTGTTGAAAACGCTGGTGCCAGTCGCAGGAGCATGAAGAGAATGGATATATTGGCTGGACAAATGCGCCTACCCTGATATGTTCATAGATCGTACGATCAAGCAGAGAGGGCCAGGGAGGCTATAGCGTTCAGCGCAGGAAGGGACGAGTTGCTTTGTCCTGGACGCAATGTGTAAACCCTGCAGTACCCAGAGGCCCAATTTTACTCTGCAGGATTCCCTTACAGCCTGTGTTTTGGGTGTATACGGTAAGTGATAACCGTGCAGCAAATCTGGTCTTGCATCCTCGCGGCACAGTACATGGCACTAAACCCGGGCGCAGATTGCCTGTTCAGAAAGCGCTAGCTGTACTATGCAAGCCCTCACTCTCATTCATCCTCGTCAATGACTGCAGTTTCTACTGAAATAGTTGCAAATTTGCGCCTAACAAGAGAACGACATTCCATGATACCATAGGAGTGGATCAGCCCCGTGGCGGTGGCACGGACCTGGTGTTCGGAATCACGGACAAACGGGAGTAAATCAGCCGCCATCAACGGCGGTACAGCAACACCACGCGGTAGCCAATGTACGACATTAGCGGGATGGAATCTGTCTATCTTCACTCCAGATTTCGTTACACAGAGCGATTCGTAAAGCACCGTACAGCCATCGGTAGGTCGATTCTGGCCAACCAATCGCCCCTGTTCCAGACAGACCGGCTTATCACTCAGGCACAGGGGCTATACCGCTTTCATCCCGTCTCTTATCAGCCACCAAGACCCTGAACTCTTACCTTCACCATTCTATACAAGCGCGACCGTGGCTTACGGGCCTTGGCTATTTGGGACATGCAATCCGTCTTCAGAATCCTTCGCGGCATCAAATCTCAGGCCAAACACAGCAACCCAAGCCAGAAGCTCCACAATATGCGCTCGGCTCCATCAGCATGGGATTCCTAACGCCCTGCTTATCTTTGCCCAGACGGCGCCACGTTCAGCGTTGGGGGCACAGCAGCGTCGTATGTATCGAAGTAGAAGGCGAACCGGGTTTGACGGCGCATCAATCTCGGTCTCTGGAAATTGGCCGGATGGTGTGAGGAAAGGCGTTGAAAGATATATATCCGCTGGAGAGCCCCTGCACTTCTTGTCTTCTCTTTCCAGAACACCCCTGAGGTTCCAGTCATAGTCGATACACTGACACCCCTACACCATGGAGGTACCACCCACTGTATGTTTCCCCAGCAGATAACAACGTCCAACATGCAAGACAACTGACACAAGCGTAGCCTGAGTTCGACCCGGCGAAGCCCAATGGCGGCAACCCAGATATCGAAAATGTCAACCTTCAGTACACTGGCCTGGAGTTCCACTACATCTACCTTATGATCATGGCTTTCCTTGTGTTTTTGATTATACCTGGAATCGGTTTTCTTTACTCCGGTCTTGCTCGCCGCAAGTCGGCACTTTCTATGCTCTTCCAGTCGTTCGCGGTCATGGGAGTAGTTACATTCCAGTGGATGTTCTGGGGTTATTCGCTCGCATACTCTCGCTCGGCCAGTCCCTTCATTGGCAACATGGACAACTTCGGGTTAAAGAATGTCATGTCGGCACCCTCGCCGGGCTCATCATTTCTACCTGAGATCGTGTTCTGTAGGTATCTCATGGATTCCGAGCTAGATCGTACCTACTAACTGTACGTAGGCCTTTACCAGATGCTTTTCTGCGCATGTACTGTACAGCTTGTTATTGGTGGATCTTTTGAACGCGGTCGCATCCTGCCGTCAATGGTCTTCGCCTTTTGCTGGGCAACTATCGTGTACTGCCCAATCGCTTGCTGGACCTGGAATGCGTAAGCATCACAGATTGTGCTTGCTGAGACATACTGACGGTCTTCTAGAAATGGTTGGCTTTTCAACCTTCCCTCTCTAGACTTCGCAGGTGGCGGCCCCGTTCACATTGCATCCGGCTGGTCTGCCCTCGCCTACGCCTTCGTCCTCGGCAAACGCCTTCACAAGGGCGACAAGATCCACGGAAAAGCTCATAATCCTACACTCGTCTTCATCGGCACTGTCTTCATCTGGTTTGGCTGGTTCGGCTTCAACGGAGGTAGTGCTCTTAACGGCACTGTGCGCTCGATGTTGGCTGCCTTCAACACCAACACTGCGGCCTCCTTCGGAGTTCTCGGCTGGGTGTCGGTTGAGTACGTCCGTACCAAAGGTCACTTCTCTGTGGTCGGTGCTTGCTCTGGAGCTATCGCTGGTCTTGTCGGAATTACTCCTGCTGCAGGTTATGTCTCTGTGTGGATAGCCGCCCTCATCGGTTTTCTCACTGCTGCGATTTGCTCTCTTTGCCAGAATGTCGATAAGTGGATCAAGATCGACGAGGGCATGGATGTCTTCAAGCTCCACGGAATCGGTGGTATGGTTGGCTCCTTCCTCACTGGTATTTTCGGCCAAGCCTGGATCTACGACCTCGATGGTATGGGTCCGTATGACGGCCTCGGAGGCATGGATGGTGTAGGTGTGCAAATCGGTCGCCAATTGGCTGAGATTGTCGCCATCGCCTCTTACTCTTTCGTCGTCTCTTGTATTCTCTTGTACATCTTGAAGTTCATTCCTGGCATGCATCTCCGCGTCACCTCAGAGGCTGAGATGATGGGTCTGGATCTCGACCAGTTTGGCGATGAGCAGATCGGTGATTGGAGTCTCATGGAGCAGAACCACTACGAGGCGAACGTCAGTAGCTCGAGCAGCCAACATGTTCCCACATCGGTTCCTGCGGCAGCAGTCGGTAAGCAGGCGTAGTGTGTGAGGGGTATATGCTCGATTTGAAACTTATGCCAGTACATCCGCAATAGCCTATCCAAATTGCATAATACGGCGGAACTTAGCAGTAGACTTCCGGCCGTCGATGAGCAGTATATGGCATTAATAGAGCCTCTAAATATTTCACAACCTTATCTTTTGTAAATAAACTAATTCTCATTCGCGCTTTGTTTAACACATACACCCTATGACCCAAGCATAGTGGCAGACAGCGAACCCCTCACACATTCCATTACTTCCGTACTCAAGCGTGCGGTTTATGATCTACTATGAACAGAATACACATCAACTCTTTTGCAAACACCACAATACTATCGTTGTCTCTCCCATCCTCTCCCGTTTCAAAGGGTTGAAATATCTATCGTTTTGCTGAATCTCAATTCTCGACTGAAGTCATGCCTTACAGACCTGATGGAAATATATCGTACGCTATGTCGTCGTCCGAGGAATCATCTTCCGAAGCTATATGAACCTGCTGACGAAAGGGGACGGCTTTTTTTGCCATGAATGGTGCGCGGCTAGATGTTGGGGTCGTGAGAGACACCGAGCGTGTGTGGCAAGGGCACAAAGTGGCACCGATTGCCGACTGGAAGATAGAAGCCAATGTACCAGATAAACAGACCTCTGGTTGTTCATTTATACTCGTAGTTCCTAATAGCGACAAACGCCTTTGATGCCTGCGATCACACGTCGGTGACGCAGACGATATCGCAGTCGTTGATGATACTGGAAGGGAGACCAAAGACGATAGTGAAGACGTTGAGAGGCTATGCCGTAATGGTAAGGAGTTGAGACCCGCACTTGAGGAAAGTCTCGTCGGCTTAGTCACTTGCAAGGAGCTGTGTGTTGTCGCGTCCGATTTGATCACGTTAAAGCAAGTATTACCGGTAGCGATCAGATCGACAAAACTTCCCTGTACCACCAGCTGCGCGCGTCGCACCTTTAATGCTCGTGAAACGTCGGGTCGAAACGGAAGGAGTTCCTGAGCACTGAATTCGCCTGTATACCGAGATAGTCCAGCGAAGAAGTCTATCATAAACTTCTCCATCTTCGTATGGGTACCGAGATGGGATTCCAGATATATGAATGCCTCGTAGTCTAGAGGTACTCTGGTGTTTGCATTGAGTAGCTCAAGGTAGAGAATGCGATACACATCTATCAGCTTGTTCTGCAGCCGCACGTCGTCGAGCATGTCCGCTAGATGCCATGCCTTGGCGAGTTTGAGCATTCTGTCGCAGCCGCCAGTAAGTTGCGTCAATGGATTTCGTATATTTGGTCGCAGCCGTCCTAACGAACCATTGACGTTGAAGTGTGCCAAGATAACTTCAAAGACAAGAGCGTCAGTGTTCTTGATTCTGCACCCATGCACAAGACTTGTGCGTAGTACACGACATGTCCTGAGAGCGGTGCGCGGGACATGAACAAGACCAGCATTAGGTAGTCTGCCCACTTGAACTTCGATATCGCCGTTATTCGAAGATGAGGTACTTGTGGAAGAGTTTTCATCAAAGTCAAATCGGAAGCTGAACGTCTCTCTGAATAGCTTAAACATCTGCGCAATGGCAGAAGAAATTTGCTTGATTTAGAAGCGTGAAATCAAGTGAGTTGGGACTCTAAGCCTGGAAGATCGTGCCAGAAATATTGGGCGTTCGTTGGAGTAAGGAAAAGTGAACGAAGGGATGTCAATGTTGATGCACATTATTTTGATGTGAGAACCATAGGCAAATCCAGAGTTCGCTTGGCTGGGATGTTGGGTACGGTTCTTGACACTCGAAATGCTTCTAAGGTTCGCTAAGGGTTGAACCAAGGTTGTTGGCGTCCTTCCTGATTTTATTGAAGCCACTCAGTTCAGAGCAACGTATAGGAATCCAGGAGCTTGTGGGGCTTTGGTGTTACCAGGTTCAACAAGAGCTGTGCAGTCATGAGAGAGAGCTCAAGGCCGCATACTGCGGGGCCTTGGGGTGCTTTTGGACGCTAGAGTGAGGTAAACCGGACATGAGCTTCCTCCGATGAGTAAGATGGTAGGCTTATCTTTCCTATGCCATTAGACTACGGGTACTAATACATTCAGATTGCGCATATTATCACTGCGCACTGGGAACTGAATAGCGAAAGTCATGGTGAGAGTGCGCGAGGATTGCCCAATAAGCGTAACGAGGTTACCAACCGTAATCGCCGGATAACCGTTTAGAGACTTCAGCCCATAGACTATACTTCGCGTACCAATGAATTTTCCGATCGGGCGGTGACGCGAATGTAAATAAACAGTCGCTGCCTATTGACAGACGTCTTTCGACGGAGATGATTTGATAAGTAAAGATGAAGTTAGAGAGTGTCAAGGAGCAGGCGGCCAGGGATAGCGATAATCTTCGCACGTGCCCCACGCTAGTCGGGCCGACGCCAATTGGAAGCTTCGCGTCATTGCAGCTACACTCCAAACACGCGATGTTTGCATACAAGATAGGCGGACCGTCGCTGCGGTGCGCATGCTACGCGTCTCAGCCACCGGCGATTTCCGTCTTTCGTCCGACCGTGTCAAGGCTTCGCTACCTTTCGCAGCAGCGCGCACAATACGCCCAGCTGAGAAGTGAAGCCCCAAGGCCTAACAACGAACAGCCACCTATACCGGAAGAAGTACTACGACAGGCGGTGGACGATGCTTCCGACGACACATATACACAGTTTCCCAAAGTCAAAGTGAGATACTTGATTCCTGCAATTTGGGCACTTTCTGTATCCGGCGGCATCTTCTACGGTCTCGCCTACCTAGAGGCCAAGAGCGAACTCAAATCCAAACCAGCATCTGGTGGAGGATGGCTTCAAGCGCCACAATGGAGTACAAAACAACGTGGCCCGCCGACCCCGACTGAAGTCGTGACTTGAGCCTGGACTAATCTCGATCCAATTTCGAGAGTCACGTATGGAATTATTGGAGCCAACAGCGGTATCCACCTGAGCAGCTTTCTACTGCCCAGAGCCTGGGAAACACTATGGCATCTGCCCGCTCGCAATGTCAATTACACCCAATTTACATCCATGTTTGTACATGGTGGAGCTTTGCATTTCTTCGTCAATATGTACTTCTTGAACAACTTCATGGCACCAGTCGGATACTCCCGCCTATTCGAGGGCAGCCCATACCATACATTATCGTTCTATCTCTCAGCTGGTGTGCTTTCGGGCTTCGCTCAACACTGGACAACTTTGAGCACTCGCATACCTTTTCACAGGCGACCAATCCCTGAAATCTTTATTCGCTCCGGAGGCGCATCAGGAGCATTGTTCGGAGTTCTTGGAGTCTTCTGCATGCAATATCCTCATGCTGGCCTAGGAATATTATTTGTCCCTGTACATTTCGACGCGCAATATGTGCTGCCCGCGATACTACTTTTCGATCTGGTTGGCATTATTCGAGGGTATAGCTTTGTGAACTTTGGTCACGCAGTAGGTTCAACACGCAGAGCGACGCATATCACTTGCTAACGACGACAGGCTCATTTCGCTGGTGGAATGCTGGGCGTAGCATACTCGTATTTCGACGGGAAGACGAATATTTGGAAGCCATTGGTGCGCCATTGGAAACGCCGCCTGCAGCAATCCTAGTCGCTTGGAAAGTCTTGGGTCGTCTTTGACCATGCAGAAGGCTTGTAGGCTTCAAATTGCTTGAAGATGAGATGGAATTCTCATTCGTAAGCCATAACCGCAAAGCACACATGTTCTCAATATATGCAATATGCAGTTGACCAACGAACACAAACACGATCAAACTCCAAAGCGTGTTCAAAGAAGGCGTGGTGTTGCTTTCAGGGCAACGCAAAAATTGCTTTCTTCTCTTTCACGTAATGCAAACTAATGATGTCGCAAAGGAGAGCTCCCAAGAGCGCTCAAGAGCATATATTCCACATATACGCCAATACTCTTTCCATACTAGACGGAAGCATGCAAGCTAACATGTCCAGTAACAACGTCACCATCGCACTCGAACTTGGTGACGGTTCTCATGTTCCATTTGAACTCAGTAGTCGCATGCGTAGGCGATGTTTCGTATTGAGCGCGATACCCCCAGGTGCTATACTGCGAGGTGTGCAATTCGAGCCTTTCCGAGCTGTGATGAACTACCTGGACAGCGGAGAGTGCCCCCCAATCTTCACAGGTCTGGCCGAGGGCAACGCATCCCTGCTTCTCTTCGCTCAAACGTGGGTGCTAGCGGCGCAACTTGGTCTAACTGGATTGCAGAATGATCTCATGACGATGATGATCGGCATTCATGCCAACATCGTCGACGGAAGAGGTGCAGACTTAGACTTCCAGTATACTACCGACGAGTCCCTCCTCGAAGCTTTTCAACATCTTCGAGACCAGATCGGACGCAACAGTCATGCCGAAAACTTCCTCATATGCTTTGCTGGTAGGACAGCACCTTCGATCAGCGAACTAGAACGAAACCTCGATACTACGAAGACTGACCCTGCTATTCGAAATGAGATATTGGCGGAAGCACGATCCTTTAGTCCAGATCCCATCAAGAATCAGCCAGAGGTGTTCTTTGTTAACGACAGGATGCCTCCTTCATACCCACAACTTGAGATACAGCCAAACAAAACAGGTTTAGGTAATGGACGTTGGACGTCTGCTCACACAACACATCCGATCGATGTAAACGACGCCGATAGACCACAACTGACCAAGACTTTTGGAGAGTTCGGTAATGGTACACAAAAGCACTCCTCAAAGATCCCTAAGCACAAATATCATGTAGGCCATCTCAGATCTCCAGATTCTACTCACACGCTACTACATAGCTCGTTCTCCAACCAGCCAGATGAGGCTTGTGATCCCGGAGTGCGCATACATGTGGGCGACCCCGATGACCCAAATCTGTCGTATCCTTCACAGGGTGTGGAAAATCACAATGGTGACCTTAGTGCTTCCACTGTAGACCATGATGGCGTGTTGCACTTGGATCGACCTCTATCATTACCATTGCCATCGGCCCTACCGCCGCTTTCCTCACCATCACCACCATCGGCATCCCTGCAATGCCCACGCCCGCCTGTGTCCTCACACACCCACTTATCATCTCACCGATCCTTTGTTGGTTCCCAAGATCGAGGACTCAAGGCGCCGTGCGTCATCCAGGTCTACCAGTATAACAACAAGGCGCACGACAACGCGTATCGCATCCAGAACGAGAGCGAAAGTACTGTAGCAGCCCAAGTACAGGGCCGTGGTAAAGGCGGAGTTAGGACTGTACGAGCAGTAGCAAATAGTGGTAGACAAAGCCAAAAGCTAATCAGGCAAAGGAAAGGGAGACGATACAAATGGTTCTCCCTCTTGACTTGTGGTAGTAAGCACTACTAGAAGGGAGATCACTGGGCGACAGTATAGAAAGATGCGGCGTGGACATTATGGGTACCTTCAATCTTCCTGGCAGGAGGTCTACACTTGTACTTATGCCATCCTCACCCAAAAGTCTTTACAACGGAGCAATCTCTCTCTAATCCACCCTCTGGTTCCACCGAAAATACTTCCTCCAGCGCGGTGTATACTCCAAAAACCAGTCTCTAACGTTATGCTTCCCGCCCATCCTACGTTTCGCACTAGCCGTCCCGATCCTCTCACTATCTCGACGTATCAAGTCTATGCTATCTACCGTCCGTGAAGCAAGAGATCCTAGCTCTTCAACCTTCACATCTTCTTCCTCTTCTTCCTCTTCTTCCGTGTCTCTATTGTTACTGATGCCGCGGTCTGGGATAGAGTTGTCAATGACAATACTGCCGATAGCTTGGAGGACTGGGCGAGAAGTCTCTTCGGTATCTTCTATTTCTCTTGTTATATTGTCGATGCCCATGCGTCCTAGTGAGAATGAGGGTGTTCTTGCTTGGCAGCGCGTGAGTGGGTACATGGTCGCGAGAATGCCACTATCTATCGTTTTGTTACGTGACAGCATGCTCCAAGAGCTTGTGAGTTGGACTCGTCGAATTTTGTCGGTGAATTTGTATGGTTGGTTGTAGTCGCTAGCGTTTGAAAGCCGAGGTTGCTGTCTGTATCTTATAGGCTCAAGGTATCGTCTGCTAAACAAGAGTGGATATGGCTTCTGCTATATAGTGCCTGGATGAATTCGGCGATGCGATGTCTTTGTGATCTCCCAGAGAATGAAATATGATCTGCATTATATATACTAGTCAAAGTTTTGGGCTTTGCTTGTAATGCTAAACGTGGAAGCTACGACAACTGTACCTTGGGTGACAGAATTTACAAATTATACCATGGTTTGACATGCTCTTCCCTCCGCTATATTACTCATCCCAGCGTTCCTAATTGGAAGCCCAAATACTCTGTAATCTTAACAGCCAAATTGCACATACCCGGCCCACTTAGACTGCGCAATGCAAAGCGCGCTTCGCTTCCCGTTACAAATCGAACATCTTGACGTCCGCTGCCCTAAATTTTTCGCCAAGCGCCCTGACCTTCTCTTTGAATTGCTGCTGGAGCTCTTTGGGCATAGCCGTGAACCCCCCGACCTCCTTGACCTTGCTCCTCAGGTCGGCTGGTAGTAGTTTCAGATATTCCATGTCGGATGAGTTCATCATCTCCGCGAATTTCTCATCGAACATCTCTTCGAATTTGTCCGCGCCAAGTCCGTATGAATAGCTGCATGGGCCCTCATGTGGAATATCGGTATAGCCTAAACGGCGTAACGTCTGGCGCGCGAGTACCTTCATCTTCTGTTCACATTCGGTACAATACCAGCGCGACACCAAGCCGAAGCCAAGCTTCTTTATGCATGATCGATGAAAGTTCCCAGTGGAACAGTCGCGATATGAGCAAACAATAATGTCCGTCTTTGAAGATCCTGTCTTCGGTAAGGCAGCACGACAATAGCACATGTACCTCGTATCCAAACGCTCGAACTCGTTGCGCTGGATATCCTGTAGCATACTCTGGGTAAGCTCCTGCTTCATAAAACCGTTCTTAGCGTAGAGTCGCTCAAAACGAAGCTCTTGCGCCATGAGAGTTCCGGGATTGTATCCGTTCTTGACGTCGTCATACTCCTTCTGTAGACGCGCGGGCACGCCGTCTGGGTTGCGATTGCGCGATCGGCTGATAGGGTCTTCCATAAAGTAATTGATTAGGTCGTCATCTATGAGCATCAAGCGGCCCTTTGTTCGATGGTCCTTCTCATATAGTGACAGCAGCTTCTCGCCACGGAGGCGGTTGAACGGTCCAGTACTACACAGCTCAACACAAGGCATCGCCAGATAGCACTGGTCTGTCAAAGGATCGACACAGGAGCAATCTGTATTGGAGTTAATATCCACTGTCAAGATGCAAATGCGATGTACTCACGAGGCTCGTGGAAAGGACAATCCGGGACGTTATTGTTCTCAAAGGAACACGAGCTACTGTGTGAACATCCACTCCACGACGGCGAATATGGATTGGTGAGTTGATCAACAACAAAATTGCGTACAAACCGGATCCAGTGCATGTGCTTGCCATGTTTTGTGATCGGCATAGATTCAGGCGGAGGCACCGGCGATATCCCATCACTGGAATCGTGAATCATAGCAATTGGCTCTACCACAAGGTCGGCGAACTTCCCTTCAGTCTTGGTATCCATCGAAAAAGATTGCAGTGTCTCGTCGATATCTAGGACGTTGGTGTCGACCTTGGTCTTTTGTGGTGTAGAAGGGCCTTGCATTGAGATGTCAGGCTCATCTCCAACGTCTTCGGTGATGATCTCGTTTGATGTAGAGTGCTTCTTTGCTTTGCGCTTAGCTTCTCGAGCTTTCTTAGCTTTCTTCTTTTGTGAAACCGCGGCATGGCCACTGACATCGTCTTCCGTCTGGAAAACGAAGGTCTCAGGCTCCTTCGAACACCAGATCATCGGAGGCTTCACCTCACGAGGTTGGGAATATGCACCATCGAACGATGTTTTCGCAGCGGAGATATCGGGAAAGTTGCGAGAGTCGGAAGACCATGGTGCTGGCCCAGGTCGAGAAGCCTGAGCTGGGCGCTTGCTTGGGATATTACCCCAAACACGTGCCTTTGGTATCTGCTTTGTTGGCACACCTCCGTTCGTAACGGTCTTCCAGCCATCAGAGGCTGTCTTGACAGGCTTCTTTGCGCGACCACGCACTGGAGCTGGTGCACGCACTGGAGCTTTAATGTTGATCACCATGATCGCGGCAACTGGCATACCAGAAGCTGGAGCAGGTGGTAAAGATAGTAGTGGGGTATGATAAGGCTCGATGTCTGCAGCGTAGAGTCCATCATCGCCACTAACGCGCTTGTGACTACTCTCAAGATGTCTCCGGTCCGGGCTGTGAGCAGTTCTAGGCCGGCAAGGAGACTGGTCTTCGAATCGTTCGCTGAGAGATATTAGCTGACAGCCTCTTCTATTGATTCCACAGAGCTATTCGGCGTCTCTCTCTGCAATCCGGTCAACCTGAGACAAGGAAAATGAACGTACCTTGGAAGTAAACTGGTTTCATGTACAGGAGTGATGGCACCACTGAAATCACTCGAACTGGACGCGAACTTCTCACCAGTCTTCCAGTCCTTGTCGGTATACCTTTCTTCTACAATCCCGTAAGATGTTTTGTTAGTATATCTGAGGTAACCAGCCCGCCGCATGCGCGATTCAGCATTGTCTTTGTTGACCAACACAATATCCTCAAGCACGGCGTGCTTCAAACCGTCGACGAAATTGAGAAATGCCTTTAGCTCTTTTCCCTGCAATCCCTTAGTTTTCGTGTTGCGCTTGAGTAACTTGTTGATGCGGAAGGTCTCCAGGATGCGTTCCATCTCGGCTTCGAAGTCGATATCGAGCGTATCTTCGTGAGCCTCGGCGAGCTTCCTAAGCCCCCTCCGACTGACCTGTGTGCTATAGACATGAGCATGGTACTATGAAAGGATTAGCAAAACAATGGAAACCAACGACGCCAGTATAACTCAAGCACTTACTCGGAGCTGCCTTTCGATTTCATCGACCTCTTCTGGATCACGCGGTCCATCGGCATCGTTGCTCGTCGTGCCTTCAGCGGAGTGCACGACGGAGTCGATGTATCTGATCTCCTCCAGAGTGATGACTCTCGATCTACTTGCCGCTCTCACAAGACGCTTCGCATCCTTTCTCTCGCGCTTCGATAATGGTGTGTCCACGTCACCGGGTTCTCTCACTCTTCCACGTTCCTCAGGCCCGAATTCATCTGGCACGATGTTCCAATCGACCTCGCCGCAACTCTCGTAGACCGCACGTAAGCGCTCGGCGATATCGTGATGGCGCCTGTAATGCTGTTCATCAATTTCCATACAGTACTTGCACGTATGACCCCGAAGGCGCATGAACATGGCCTAGACAGAGTTAGAACGCCGGTTGCCTCGTGTATAGCCGACATGACGAACCTGGTGAAAGCGGACACATGGCTCGCTGTGCTTGCCGAAACAAGATGCTCTCGCACCGGGATGGCTCAAGGGACGCTCACAGAACCCACAGTGGTGTCTGGAATGGTCAGCGATAGTATATGTGTTGGGCGGTTGCCTCCGAAAGGTTCCGGCAGCCCAAGTAAATAAACACTGCGAAACAACTTACTTCAGCGCCTCCGAATCTTCCCACTTAAAGAGTAGGTTGTTACCCATTTCTTGCAGTAAGCTGTACCTTTCAGATGAATAATGAACTGCGTCATTCGTGGTTGTGGAAAAAGGTAGGTGGGGTTTGTGCTATGCCAATGCGAGCGGGGAAATAGACGACACTTTTGCCTGGCCGCAGAATCTTCAGTGAATAAGACGCGTGGTAGTTTGAAATTGTTCTCGCTAACGCAGCGGGGTGAGGTGCAATGGTCGTGCGTGACGGTGTATTCTCATAGCCCAAGGCTGACTACGTAATTGCGGAAAGAGCGAGTGGCTGTGACTACACGACGATGAAATGATTTCTGTAGAGACTGGATCCAGCAAGATGGAAGTGATGCACATTCGCGCCGGACCAAAGGAAATGCCTCTCTTGCTACGAAAAAGCGACTCATCGTTGCGGTGAAAGATGCAGTGACCCGACGATCCGTACAGTTTCGCGCCGCTGCACCATCGTGGCCGGGACTAAGCACAGCATTTGGAGACACTGCAAACGCAAACAACGAATCAGGTACCACCAATCTAGGCATCCGACACAACACGCGCACCAGCCCAGACATAGGGATAGTTGCGTTGGTACCAGTTGACGCTTTGACACGTTAGTAACATGGCCTCGGCTGCAGTTGCCGCTCTCTACTCACAATGTCTTTCGTCCAGCAACGCGCGGATGCGTCGCCCACGATCCACCAAGCGTGACGTTATGTTTGCCGTCGAAGAAGTCGGCTGCCTACTCTTAGCATCGTCTTATCATGTGTTGAGGAGCAGAGGCCCGTCGGGTCCCCTCATACCTGTATAACCTGGGTACAGCTCCATCGGCTCAAAGCCGTCATGCTTCTCCAGCACAGTACTAGTCCATTCCCAAACACCTCCCAGATCAGATTGGCCACAGAGCTTGTTGCCCTTCTCGACCACTGAGACTGGGTGCCAGTGTTTGAAGCCCACGTTCGTCCCTTCAAGGTCGATGAAGAGGTCGTGTGGATTGAGACCAGATACTGTGCCGGAGTCGCCGTTAGACAAAGAGTGTGGTGGTGGCGTCTCAAACACTCCTTCGTTGATCAAATGCCTGCAGAATTTTAATCATGAATCCAAGGCGTTGCGAAGTGTAAATATTACCCGTTCACTGCTGGAATCGTGTTTCCGAGCGATTTCTCAAACTCCGGCTTCATGCCGTCGACGTAGCTGTAGATGCTTCGTGCTTCTTCCATCGTGGGAATACGACCGCCCATCCACTGCGCGCAGCCAGCTAGTTCGTCGTAGGATGCAACTACAGGCCAACCCATGGCAAACTTCAAAGGGACAATACCATACACAGTACGGACAAATTTGCCATCTGTAATGCTCTGAGGTGAGTCATTGGTTTCATTATGTTGAACATTCACCACACTGTCTCTCTTGCTGGTGCTTGTGTCCTCACCATTAGGGTATGGCTGTTTGCACCACGACGCAGGTATAGCTACACGGTACAGTCAGCGAAACTTGATCAGAGATGTGGTCAAGCCAGCACCAGCGACTCCACTCCAATGTTCACGTACCTGTCTTTCCTGTCTCAGACAGATATGTGGCGTACTCTCCGTTCGTGATCGGGCGAGCCTTTGCGCGGAAGGACTTTACGTGCGCTGTACGGCTAGGTCTCTCGTTATCCCATCCAAAGTATCGTATGGTTTTGAAGTCATTCTCAGGGTCTTCAAGACCTATTTGGATGTCTGATTCAGGAATCGTGAACCACTGGTTCTCGGTTGCCAGAGTCTGCGACTGCGCTGCAAATGCTGCAAAGTCTGGAACCTTGGTGCCAGGAGGTGGCAAGACCTTGTCACTCTGGATCAGCATGTAGAGCAAAGTCTCCAAATGCATGACTTCATGCTCAAAACCGATCCAAAGTGCTCGAGACACACGGCCATTCGATTCCGCCTCTCCTGAACTATAGAGCGCTTCGACTTTGCTTCGTACTGTCTCTTGAAATCCTAGAATGGTTTTTAGCGGCGGCCACTCTTCAGGAATCTCGGAGTGGGCATGGCACTGAGTTGGATCTTCGACATCAGGATCAACGCCGCGCTCAAAGATCTTCCAGAAATAGGCAGGGTCCGAAGGCTTGCCGGCGGTGGCGCGGGCGATGTGTATATCTAGGAATGTAGGAATGTGGCCGAGGTAGAAGATACACTCGTTCCGAAGTTTGATGGGCTTGGAGAGTAGCTCTTCTTCGGGTATCATGTCCTTTGAGACCGCGTCCCAGGCCGTCCAAAGTTCTCGCCACTCGGCCAAAGAGGGTACTGGATTCGCCGCGTACTCCTTTGGCTTAGTGTGAAAGAACACTGCGGGCTTGGAAACAAAATGCAGACCGTAATCGCCCTTGGCGTTCGCCCATACAACGTTCTCCGCGAGTTTGGCCAGCTCCCAAAGCTCTTTCGCTTCTTCGCGGCTGTACTTGTAAGATTCCTCAATGCGGATCTTTTCGCCCTGTTTGATCGGGACACCGTCGACAACAGTGTCTTTGAGTGGTGCGACAAAAGCGTGATGTCTTCCAGCTTGGCTGTCGTACTCGCCAATGGCTTCCCAGTTCTGAATATCGAAAGCTTTCTCGCCCATGATTGCGTTTGCGTGTTTCAGACCGTTGAGGATGAATTTGTGCGTTACACCGTTGCAATCGTTGTACGCATGGTAAACACGCTAGTAGAAGTATATGGTCAGCGTGTGTTTACGTGCATCTCGTAATAACAGTTTTACCTCGGGATCTTTGCATGAATCGATACCGATAAGCATGGTATCACCAGTCTGTAGGACTGCACCAAACCCAGCAAGGAATGGCGGCACCTCATGGCGTTTGAAATTGCCCAGGCTGGAGCCCAGCCAAAGGATGGTCTTTGGTTTCTCTTCGACTTCGGGAGTCTTCAGCCACTCTAGGGCATCGTCGTACGTGCCGTACAGCCCAAAGCACTTGACATGCTTGTATCCATCTGCATGCTTGGTTAACAAGATCGGAAGGGTGATCCACGTAGATCGATGTAGCGTGCAGTGATAAGGAGATAAGGGCGTTGATTTCCACTATGTTGACGCACATATATGCAGGTTCATGCAGGTCTGGACCACATTCACTGAATAGTGTATACTGTGGCACGCTTGATTTAAACCCCACCCCCTCTCTGCAATATCAATTATTATGAGATAATTGCTTACCTGTAGGTATTTCGCCGAATGTTCTCTCCAATTCCGGAAGAGACAGGTCGACAGCGTAATACTCGACGTCCTTGCCAAGACGATCGACAGCCTGTAAAAGTATGTTCACCTTTCTGAGATTGCTACACAACTATTAGTACTCACGAAGCACAGGGCTCGTTTCCAATCTCTTTTTAAGTGGGAGCCGAGACCCTACCCGCTCCCCAGTTCCACGATGATGGAGTTGGATGGGATTCGTTCGGCGATTTTATCCGCATATGTCTCGAGGACCTCGATTTCGGCATTTGTCAAGTAGTACCTGGCGCAACGAACTTGATCAGCTCAACGTCCATATAAGCCACGAGTGAAGCTGCTCACTCTTCTTGGTATGTGATTTCTTCGAACAATCGGAGACCTTCCTGGCTGATAGAAGAGAAGTGGGGTTAGCGTGCATCTGACGCCGGTTACACCGTCGCTTACTCGTAGAGCAGCAACGTAGGCAGCTTCTTTTCGCCACCATTGTTCGGCCGCAAACCATTCTTGATATCAGCAAGAATATCAGACTCCGCGGTGTCTGTCCGGATATCGATTATTTTGGTCGCCATCTTTCCGTGATGCAGGGGCTTGGATAGTATCGTAAATCGGTAAGCCCGTCAAGAGCCGTTCTACTAAGCACACCCAATGCCGAGGGCTGCGCAATACTTATATGGTGCGAAAAGTACGTAATGTGGGTACTCGGACGCTTATGCCGTGCGGTAGCTGACGGTAACTAGAGGGCCGGTAGTATTTCTAATGGAATAGTGTCGAATGCAAAGTCTCGTCAGTGAGCAGATACTGCCACACTGCTTGGCTAGCGGCTGCAGTGGTAATATCACTCGCAAACTCGCAACAAATCAAGACATCCGTTCTTCTCACGATTGACAGCGGTACGACAGAAATGCCTACGCCGCTCGAGCACATCATCAACATCAACCCCGCCTAGACAAATTGCACCGATACCAGGGCGATGCGGAAGCATGGTACCTGAACGTACAGCATTGTTGTGAAGCCATAATGATGACGTCATTGTTTGCCAACTAAGGAAGGGACGGCGGAAGTCCGGGATCAAGAACGTTGAGCAGCTGTAGGGAAACCGATGCCAAACGAAAGCATTCAGGAACATGCTGCACGACGGCCTGTTCCTCGGTCGCGAACTCTGGCCGACCACGACAAGTTCGTGACGATCACGCTGCCTATTGCGGGGTCGAGCAATTGCTGCATAAGCGATGCCGTCACAGTGGAGTGGACACATTACACAGTACGCTGCAGCTGGGTTGGCCAGACACTGAGTGTGGTGAGCACAACGTGATTGGCCACGTGAGCGCCCTGCTAGGCAGAATCGACGTTGGCGTGGGCGAAGTGCGGTGCCAACGTAGCGAGTAGATGAACGGAAGCAAGTCAGTAAGAGCAGAAGAGCGATAGCGATAGTTTGATACATAAGGATGCCCGGGATGATAAATCCAAATCTGACCTGGATAGTCGCATGCCGAGGTGCGACGCCAGCGCGGAATAGTGGCGCGCGGACATGTCCGCACGCTCGCTCATCAGAAAGCTGCTATTCAGCCCTAGGCATACGCACCATGGACACAAGGCTATCGTTCGTGTCAGAATACCATGAACCGACGCAGGTACTTATACTTGCACGCTGTTCCGGCCAAGATCTGTGGACCCGCTATACTCACCCTTCCAATATCGTTCAGCACTCGGAATCTGCCAAGGTTTGGGATTCTCTAAGACGAGTGTTGATGATACATCCGTGCAAACAGCTGTTACGGAACTCCCTTTCATGCACGCACATCCGAAATCATGCTATCTCACCGATGAGTGGTCGCCTTGAACGACGCTGTGCATTACATGCAGAATCACAACGTGGCTTGACCCTTGCATAAGACATCACAACACCACCGCTAAGACCATACGAACACCCCCCGCTAAAGCCGTACATGATTCGAGTATCGTCGGTCATCTCGGTATTTCCTCTGAAACGCTGAAGATGCTGGGATGATTCTATCCGAACAGCTACCAAACCTTCTTCTGCTCGGTAGACTCATCAATCATAGATCTAAAGCCATCTTAACGAAGACACCGAACAGCACCTGTATAAACTATTCCATTCCGTGGCGGATAATACGATCAATATGACAGCCCAAGTGCTCTGAGCCGCCCACACCGAAGAAGCCTAGTAGTGAGCCTGACTGCTGCAAGCCTCCTCGCAACCCTTAGTAGCCTTTCTGATTGTCCCAAGGCACATGGCTTTGTCTCGTTCCTTGATCACGAAACTTTCCGCTGAACAATTATCACGAGTCGAGCATCTGGCTGCCAATCGCTTCTGGCCTAGAGCCAGACTTTGCGCCACTGCTCTGCTCGAGACTCGATGGCATCTATCGTTCCCGGGATCCGAGGCAGCACTCAGCCTTTTGACAGTATTGAACAAGCCCACGCTTGAAGTAGCTAGTCTTCATTACGATGGCCATTACAAGCACCTATGATAAAACAAATTCCCTAGCCAAACCGTGTCGAAGCCTGCATCCGTAACATCTTTGCCTTCGCACCACAAACAACAGTCACATTGTCTCTTGTTGCTTATCGGGTTCGAGGAACAGTAAGGGCTGTACCACCGGCGGCATGGACTGTACCAAAGCTTCTTCCCAGCCGTGGGGCGTCGCCGCTACCAATGACATCTTCCCTGCCAACGAAGCTCTCAGTTGGTCTTTCAGGATCTCCAAGTTGCAATCCGAGAAGGAAGTCCTAGAAGACGGTCTTGCCAATTGTGTTACATATCTACAAGTTCTGCGCAAGAAGCAAGCTCGAACTGAACGACGATTGGTCACAGACTCCTCATTATCCCGGAAGAAGAGAAAGAAAATCCAACAGGGCAAGCGTGAATTGGAGAAAGAGATCAAGCACAGAGAACGAGACGAGCAGGCTTTCCTCAACAATCTCCAGGCTTGTAAAGCAAATATTTACATGGCCGAGACTATCTCAATGCCGTCTACAGCCATCTCATCAACGATGCCGGACATTGCTTCCATTTCGACGCAATGCTCGTATCCAGTAGATGTGCAAACTGAGCCTACCGAGATGAGCTGGAACGGCTGGACAGATGACACGGTACTCTCGCCCTTCGAAAAGGAGAGCAACAGCCCTCTCTTCGCAGACGATGTCGCTCCGGACGAACGTTTGGAGATTGGTAATGTTGGCAATGTTGATGTGACGATGCTTGAGAACTTCAGGGAGTCTTTTCCTGTTCCGCCCTTGGAGAATATCAAGGCTAGACAGCAGGTGTTGGCTAACACACAAACGCACGCCTTGTTGAGCGCCGAGGCTGCAATCTTTCAACCTCAGCATATATACATGAGTCAGCGGGTTGCTGTCGATCAACAATTAGCCCAACTCCATCTCTCTTCTTCGATGGCGATCACGACTTTGGAGATAAAGGCGCTGGAGCTTCTGGAAAGACGCATTGTTAGTGACGCGGGCATTGGTCCAGTGCGACGACAGAGTTCACTTGCGGATATTGATGAGGAGCCTGAAATCCAGACTGGGGCCAACTGGACAACACAGCAAAAGCCGAGCAAGTTCACTATAGGCAAAAATCTTAGGATTAGGACAAGCTCTCTATGATGAGAGAACACGGTGGCATGTCAGGCAGACGTCTCATAATACCCCACGGCACTTAGTCGTATTGGTAGAGTCCCACCCTCATTGGCGCGTTGTGTACACTCGATCCGCATTTTTCCATGTCGTTCGATCGCTCTCGATCACACCTGTTTGAGTTTCAGCCTGGCGGCAGGCAGCGTGGGCGAAGGAATGGGCGGGCAAACATGGTGCAAGGAAGACGCAGTGTTTAGTCGTTGGGGCGCAGGATGCAAGGAAGCTGCGTCCTGTTGCAACGTAGTGTTGAAAATGCAGATTTTTGGTTGCTTCCACATGTCAGATGGCTTCGGCCCATCGCTGCCGTTTTGGGTGAAGCGGATTGCCCCACACTGTGCCGTCATAACAGCACACCCGTGTTTGCGCGCCTTGCCTTGCAGACAAGCGAACGACGACTCCCCTCCCATACACGTTCAACATCCGCACGCTAGCTAGAGTTCAACACTCTGCGCATGACGGTTGGTCCGCACAGAAGAAGCGCGATTTTCTCTCGTCCAAGAAGAGACGGAGCCCGGAGCCGCGCTGTGTGGCCCCAACAACCACCTCGACTGCATCCCGGCAGTTCATACAGCAGCCCACTGCGCAGTGCTTGCATAGCGTCGCGGCAAGCTCGCGCCATAGCCGTCCCTGCAATATAACCCGCGAGCCCCTCACTCAGTTCGCGCCGGAAGAACCGACACCTTTTCAATTGCCTCATCTCCTCCAACATGGCTGATGTTAGCAATGGATCCAAGGGAGACGACGGCCAGCTACGAGAGCGGCCGTCGGCTAAGCCGCTGCATCTCAACAACGCAGACGATGCTAAACAAAAGGTCCTGGAGCTGAATGACCAAGAAGATAAGAACCATAAAGATGACAACAAGAAACGAACCTATGGAAGAACTCCAGACGGTACAGGTATGTCCCATCTGGTGCTGTGCCCACGCAAGAACAAGTATCACGCATGCATGGCGCGTCCACCCAAACTCGGACCCGCTGTTACTGACGCTATACGTCTAGTCTTCATCGTTCCACAGACTCACGACATGGTCTCACAGCTGCTCTCGCCCTCGCAACCCAAGAACCTGTCCGATATAGCAGTCCTCGCTGTGCTTGCTGCCCTGATCTTGACCTTCGTCGTACTGCCCAAAAGCGCCCGCATACCTGTATTCGCAATCGTCTTCCTCTTCTGGCGCGCCTGTTACAATGCTGGCATTGGCTGGTTGCTCGATGGCCAGTCTAAACACAACCGTCTCGTCCTGTGGGCAAAACAAAGCCATATCTTCGAGACGCCTGAATCAGGCAAGAACCCACGTCCCGCGCTGTACAAGCTTTTGAAGCGGGAATTAGAGACCAAGATCCCAAACGACTATAAGTTTGAAGAGGCGCCGCTCGAGTACAACACGTGGCTTGTGTTCAGGCGCGTCGTAGACCTCATACTCATGTGTGATTTCGTGTCGTACTGCCTTTTCGCCCTCGCCTGCTTCAACCGCCCCCAGGAGAGCTTTTTCTTGTGGCTCCTGCGATGGACAACTGGTATTGTCTTATTCCTTTTCAACCTGTGGGTCAAGCTAGACGCTCACAGGGTTGTAAAGGACTTTGCTTGGTAACCACCTTACTTGTATAGCGCCTGGGAATCATGGCTCACCACTTTTAGGTATTGGGGCGATTTCTTCTATCTCATCGACCAAAGTTTGACGTTTGATGGCGTCTTTGAGATGGCACCGCAGTAAGAGGCCCCATCATGGTTCTGGTTGAAGAAGACACTAACGCGCCGCCTCCATCCAAAGCCCAATGTACTCGATAGGCTATGCTGGGTATTATGGTATTGCCCTCATGATGGCGAGCTACAAAGTCCTAGCAATCTCCATCATCGCCCATGCAGCCCAATTTGCCTTCCTGTCGATAGTAGAGGAGCCTCACATAAATCGTTTGTACAACCCCCCACCACCCCGCCGTACGCGCCATAATTCTGGGGATCTTGCTATGGAAGATCGACCCAAAACTAGCCAGTCTGATGTGGCCTTCTCCGAGCCAGTCTTCGATCCCATCAAGCACCAACCTGCCCAAACGCACCACATTGTAGGGCCTCTTAATACGGATTTCCACCGATCCATTGATCTCACGGTAGTATTGCTCTCGTTCTACATGTTTTGCTTGGCTACGCTGACCCCCAACACCTGGCCGGTGCGAACATTCCTCTTCATCAACGCATTCGGGTGGCGGCTTTGGTACGCATTAGGATTGGGCTATATTCTGGATCGTCAGTCCAAGAAGAAGAACTGGACAAAACACTTCATCAAGTACGGCGACACCAAAGAGGAAGCTTGGCGTCAATGGAAATCTCTGTACCATATGAGTACAACCATGAGCCATGCAAGCTTCGTCGCTGTGGCATGGAAGATGTACAGTCTCCCATCGGATGGCCTGAATGGTCTTACTCTCTTTCGCCACGTTCTTGGTGCAGGTATGATTGTACTCCAGCTCTGGGTTGCCATGAGCATCTACGAGTCACTTGGCGAGTTTGGATGGTTTTGTGGGGACTTTTTCTATGATCCACCCTCAAGGTCATTGACTTACTCTGGCATCTATCGTTTCTTGAACAATCCTGAGCGAGTTCTTGGATTAGCTGGTGTCTGGGGGGTAGCTCTGATCACCTGGAACCCGGCCATCTTCTACCTTGCCACGACCGCACATGTTCTCAATCTCGTGTTTCTCCAGTTCGTCGAGAAGCCCCATGTAATCAAGGTGAGTGCAAAATGTTTTGGAGTAGCCTGGCGACTACACGCACCTATGCAGGTTGTTACGACGTCTGAAAATCGCCAACATGTCGAGTTTGTTCCATCTGTCTGTCCAAGCTTTACTGACTGTAATATGTGTAGTTGTATGGTCAAAACTTACGCGAAATGTCTGGTGTCAGCAAAACCGTGCGTCAAGCACTACCAGACCCGGTTCGCCAGTGGCAATCAGCAGCCGATGAATATCTCAACTCTACCATGGAGTTCATCGAGAAATTCTTGGATAGTGCAAGACCGAAAGTGGCTGCCAATGTCGACGCTTTTGTCAAGGACACAACGAGTCTTTTCAAGTCTTACCCAACGCGTATTCCTGTCACTGGTCGTTCATCGGAGCCATCTGGTCTAGATTCCAAACAGTACAAGCTCGAGGTTGAAGGTACACGCTCACCGCCTACGGTAGAGCAACAAAAGAATGGTGGTCGAGAAGGAGAACTTGCAAGAACCCCAGCGATTCGTACAAATGACTTCAAGACACTCATCCTCGAGTACGGCGCTCCGATCAGAGTTCGTTGGCAAGCACCTATCAACCACAGCAAGAAGGACTGGATTGGCTTGTACATGGTCGCCGACAATCAATCCCGAGACGTTACACGCATCAGCTCTAACGGGCGATGGATAGCCACCAATCCAGACGTCTTTGACTCGACTCGAGCTGATGATGGCATTCTCGTCTCTGATAAACTCCTGCCTGCCAATGCCGCCGACGAAGAATCGTCTGATTGCTACACTGGTGAGGTAGAATTCCGCGGAGATAAGCTCTGGTGGACCACTGGTGTCTTTGAGTTCCGCTATCACCACGGCGGTCGGCATCACGTAATGGCACTCTCGCAAGCTTTCGAGATTCGTATTCCAAGGTTCGATGAGGACGATGTGGAGGTGGATTCTAATGGCACGATCCAACGTGCCGTGGAAGAAACCCTGCTACCCATTATCCAGAACTGCTTCGACCACGACCCTGAAATCGCTCCATCTACTCCCGAGGAGCCTTTTGGTAGCCTAGTTGAAAGAGACGGGAAGTTTGCGAGACGGGTAGTATTTGCAGTCCACCAAATGTACGTCTCCTCTCTTGGTGCGTACCCTGTAGAGATTACTGATGATGTCTAGGTTTGGCATAGAATTTGCCCCTGAAGTGGTCCAGGCAGATGGTACAGTCAGTCGACTTGCTTGGCGCATTCTGAATGCTAAGAAAGTCTTGGTGAGCCACTCACGAGCGACGACGAAGGGGCTAGGTCACTAATGGTACTGGTAGGCCCCTTACAGCATGTCGTCGGCTACCCACGGCAGGAACACCCCAACACTAGGGTGAAGATTGCTTGGACAGTACCGCCACCACTGGCTCATGCAGAAAGAAGCACGGTCGGTTCTTTGTCTCTATGTGAAGTCGAGCTTGAACATTGCCCCGATGAGGAAGGCTTCTAGAGGATGGGCCCATCTGTCTGGCGAACAGCGGGTAGGATAGCACGTGCGAGCCGTTCACATCTCCAATGGAGCTTGTCAAGACTGGACGGGTGGATGTATGCTAAGCTTGGCGCAAGCAGGTGACGATACGCGTTTTCGGGTGTTGTTCATTGTATATGCACGAGGGGTTGAGGAGGAGTTGTGCATAGATGCGATGTACCAGTGTAGAGTAGTAGGGTACATGGGCGTAAAAGTAATATATTAGTTGAAATAATATCGCACCTTAGACAAGACGTGAATTGAGCTACGAGATGCAGTAGAACGGCTGCGCACATACAAGTTACTCATCTTGCATTCCAGTCCATTCATGGATAAGAAGTTTTAGATAAGATGCGGGGCAGGGTTAAACGTCATGCTGTTCACCGTACTCTTTGCCCAGTTTGGGCGTGCGGCGACCGAGATGCGGAGATGATCTTATCAGATGGGGATGGCGACGCGGTCAACGTGATTCGCAGCGGCTGGTTTAACCTCGGTCTGGCCCGTGAGAGCATCTTCTGGAAGCTATCGCGCCTCCTCCGCCGGACACATAGGCGTCGCATCAGATTTAACTCTACGTTAACACAACGGGGAACTGCAGCAGACTGGCGTGCTTTCACTCTCAGGTTGCATTGTTGTGCTCTATCTCTCTATTTCGCGCTGCACGTGTCGTAGCCTCACATCGCTCGGGCGTCCGCACCTTCCGCATCCCAGCGGGTCCGCACGTCACCACGCGACATCGCGCCCCTTTGATTCCAACGTTCCTTGTATCAACCCAGCAACCCATCGTTAGCACCTCATGATGGGTAAAGGCTCCTCCAAGACCAGCACCAAGGTGCTACCACTCATCCCGCTCGCGTCGCCCCTCGCCGTGCTCCCGGGCACAACACTCAAGATCCCCATCACCAACCGCTCCGATGTCGCCGCCATCCTCGCGAAGATTTACAGCATCAGCCCTACCGCGAAGCCAGACGCGGCTATTACAGTGGCCTGTGTGCCGCTCAATTCCAACACGCTTGGCCCGGACGGACAGTTGCTGATTGACGATGGACACCAGGGGGACAAGACGGTGTACGAGAGCGATCCGATGCAGGCGACCAAAAAGGATATCTTTGGATATGCCTGTGTCGCCAAGGTCAATGGCGTGCAAGGCAGACGGCAGGGCGATCTGAGTCTGATCGTCGAAGGCCTGGAGAGAGTGCAGGTTGTCGACGTTGTGCAGGAGAGGCCCTACTTTGAGGGAGAGCTGATGGCTGTCGACGAGTACATCGACATTGCGAGCGCAGAGCTCCTGAACCAGTTCAACCTCCTCAAGCAGCTGTCGCGCGAGCTGCTCGCCCTCGTCCGCCTCTCCGCCATCCTCCCACGCACACCACAAGTCACGCTCTCGCCCATCGTCGCCCGGAGGCTCGAAATGTACATCACACGCAAGGACTTGTCAGAGGCTGGTGCGCTGGCCGACTTCATGGCGAATGTCGTCGAGAGCACACACGAGGAGACGCTGCGCGTGCTGGCAGCTGTAGATGTCAAGGAGAGAGTTGACAGGGTCATCGAGATCCTCCAACGCCAAATCAGCAGCATCCAGGGCAGCACACGCATGACAGTCACCACAACACAAACACAGGGCGGCAGCTTGGATATGGACACACTGCGCCGGCTGCAGCAAGAAGCCCTAGCAAGGAGAGGCAAGATGGGCGGTGGCCTGCCTGCTGGTTTCCCTGCCGGTTTCCCTGGTGGCGGCCAACAACAGGCAGGTGAAGAAGAACCGAGCGAAATTGACGAGCTGAAGAAGAGGCTACAAGACGCCAAGCTATCTCCAGACGCCGATAAGGTGGCTCAGCGTGAGCTGTCAAGGTTGCAGAAGATGAACCCAGCACAAGCAGAATACCAGGTGTGCAGGAACTACCTCGAGAATCTCGCCGAGATACCATGGACCAAGACGACTGTCGACCAGCTCGACGCGCAAACACTGGTCAAGGCGAAGAAGCAGCTCGACGATGACCATTACGGTCTTGAAAAGATCAAGAAGCGACTATTGGAATACCTAGCAGTCCTCAAGCTCAAAGAGCAGGCAAATAGGACCATCGACGATCAGATCCGCGCCCTCGCCGAGACACCCGAGGGAGAGGATGAGGCCAAGGATCAGGAACCAGAAGACAAAGTTGCAAAGGAGCCTTCAGAGGCCGGGCAGCGACTGTTGGAGAAGAAGCGCATGGTCGACAAGTCCCCAATCCTGCTGCTTGTTGGACCGCCAGGAACGGGAAAGACTTCACTGGCCAAATCAGTTGCTACTGCGCTTGGCCGCAAGTTCCACCGAATATCACTTGGTGGCGTGCGCGATGAGGCAGAGATCCGCGGCCATCGTAGAACCTATGTCGCTGCCATGCCCGGTCTCATCGTTAATGGACTCAAGAAAGTTGGTGTTGCAAATCCAGTTTTCTTGCTCGATGAAATCGACAAGCTGGGCATGTCAAACCACAATGGCGACCCCGGCGCAGCCATGCTTGAGGTACTCGATCCGGAGCAGAACCACACTTTCACAGACCACTATGTCAACATACCCATCGACCTCTCCAAGGTCCTCTTCATCGCCACCGCAAACTCGCTCGACACTATTCCGCCACCGCTGCTCGACCGCATGGAGACTATCCAGCTCTCTGGTTACACCACACTTGAGAAGAGGCACATCGCTTCAAGACACCTGATTCCTAAGCAGATCACGACCAATGGTCTCCGCAACGAGGACCTGAGCATACCCACCAACGTGCTTGACAAGATCATCACATCCTACACACGCGAATCCGGCGTCCGGAATCTTGAACGCGAAATCGGTTCCGTCTGCCGTTCCAAGGCCGTCGAGTACGCCACGGCGAAAGATACAAACACGTTGGCGGCCTACTCCCCTGTCGTCACTCTCGAGGATCTTGACAGTACGCTCGGCATTGAAAAGTTCGCCGAAGAGCTCACTGAGCAGTCCTCGCGGCCAGGTGTCATCACCGGTCTAGTCGCATATAGCACCGGCGGCCAAGGATCGATCCTCTTCATCGAAACTGCAGATATGCCCGGTTCCGGCCGCGTTCAGCTAACCGGAAAACTGGGTGACGTTCTCAAGGAGAGTGTAGAGGTGGCGTTGACATGGGTCAAGGCTCATGCTTTCGACCTTGGTCTGAGTGCAAGCCACGACGAAGATATTATGAAGACTCGTAGCATCCACGTTCACTGTCCATCTGGTGCTATTCCCAAAGACGGTCCTAGTGCCGGTCTTGCTCACACCATTGGACTCATCTCCCTCTTCTCGAACCAACCTGTCCCGCCTACGCTCGCCATGACTGGTGAAATCTCGCTGCGTGGGAAGGTTCTGCCTGTTGGTGGTATCAAAGAGAAGTTGATTGGCGCATTGAGAGCTGGCGTCGAGCGAGTGCTCCTACCTGAGGGCAACAGGAAGGATGCTAGGGATCTGCCGCTGGAAGTTACACAGGGTCTCAAGATCGAGTTTGTCGGCCACATTTGGGAGGCTTTGGGCAAAGTCTGGCCTGAGAGGTGGGAGGGCGAAGATGGCAGGAGGGGATGGGAGAGTAGATTGTAGATTGCAGACTTGTACGAGTGATGGGTCTTGTGCGGGCTTGGGGAGTTGGCTTGGGGACTTTGTATTTAGCGTTGCATTCGTTATTGTTGATCTGAATACATCAACATTGGTACTCATCTCTCCCACGCATACTTTCGTCTTGTTGAGTTAGAGTGGCGTCATCTCATCTCGTGTCACTCAATACTCATGTGTATAATCCTCTTCCTCAACTCACCTTCCTTGCTCAACTCGGGTTGTATTCCATGAGCCAATGACAAAGACATTAAATGTCACAAGACAATGAAAAGGTCGAGGCCTGCATTCCCGTGTAGACCCGCTGAACGGGCTGTGCGATTGTACGAAACGCGCGTCTTTCTGGGCTTCATCTCATTTTCTTATTTCACACCTCTCCACCTTCAAACTGTGGTGTTCAAAACTAGCGAGCAGAACATGATCTCGTTCGTCTTCCTTCAGCCAGTGCACATTCAGTGGGTATACGGTTAGCCCGAGATCTCCAACAGCAAGCCAGCACCTAGACATGGTTGCGGCACGCCCAAAAGCAAGAACTCCGGGCAAACCTAGGTCTTGGTGTACAGCCTTTAGAAAAAGCATAGTAATCACTGTCATATCTATGCTCCTTCCTTCTGTTCTCAAGTTCTTACCGAAGTCTTGGTTGGTTGATTGACCAATTGATTGATTGTGGCTTGACGCCCTATTCTGTAACCTCCTGCGACTTTCGGGCGGGTATCGAAATCTTGGGACTGGGCCATATGCGGCTTCATGTAGAGCGTACATTTGACGATGGGCAGACGTAGCCGTCATTTCTACAAATGTCGATCATATACGATAGGCGCAATCTGAGTCTAATATGACGACATGAGCTCTAGCATCGCCATTGCGGCTATTATCACTTTTCGAGATGCTTGCCAGGCCCTACACATAGTTCTTACTGTATGTTATTTACTCAAAGCTAGTCGATTAAACGATTTCCCTGCATCTTCAAACAAGAAAACCCGCTCTACAAGGCATCTATAGCAAGATCAGTCGGCGCCGAGCACGCGTCACCTTTCCGGCAGCGTCGGGCTCAGGGACCTCTCATTTGGGAGAACCATGGACGATCCTACTATACCAGCTTCCCAAAACGACAGCGACACTCAGACGTAGTAACCCGAAACGCCGGGAAAGAGTGGAGAGACGGAATCTGCGGAGGCGCGGCGGATGAGGACTGAGCTCTACGCGCAACGCACGGGACCGACAACACCCCAGCCCCTAACTTGTTCCCACAGCAGTGTTCTGGCCAAGAATACTGACTCATGCTTCGGATCCGAAGGCCCATTTCCACCAGGGTGACGGGTGGCGTTTCAGGGACCGTAGAATACTTGGTAACGAAGGTCAGGGATCAAAAGATTCAAGAAATGTTTTTTCGATGCACGCTGCACGGCTCGATGGGCATACCATTGTGGTCATTCGACGCGAGATTGAGTGTGTATATCCTCTGGACGGATGGGGTTTGGCACGCCAATACGTGATAGCAGTAGTGAATCGAGCCGCAAAAAGCATTTAGTGTAAGCTGCTAGTGTCATGATGGCGGCACAAAGCCATGGGTAGTTGTTGACACATGGCCGCTCTATGTGTCTCGACGGTGATACTGTATGCTTCTGTGCTATCCATGTTCCTCAACTAAAGTCAATAATGGTCTTTCTACCAGACCAAAGGTTAATCTTGCGACACGCCTACATGCGATGCAATTTCGGCTGCGAGCATCCAGATGCCATCCGGTGTTGACGTCGCATTGGGATGTCGCAGTCGTCTAGGTTTAGTACGCGTCGTGAAAGGGCCGATGTATCTTAATACTGGGATTCTGCGATCGATAACGTAGCCGCAATGCCCAACGGCGGCCAGCCGCGGCGGAGATGCCGGGTCGGCGAACGGAAGTTGCCGGTAGAAGCATGCGCCGTACACGCCGACTGCAAAAGAAGAACATGTGAGGTCGCGCAATCATGTGTGGTTGCTCGAGGATCCCAGAAACCATAGAGGAGGTAAAGTTTAAAGTTCGGCATCGCTGCTAATGAAAGCTTGCTGACGGTGCCGATTGATCAAGCGGAGTAGGCGAAGAGGGGCGTTGTCTCCACCCGTCCAGGTCATCGGGCAGACCAGGATTACACCAGTTTCCCCACCGGTGAATTGCGTCGCGGAAGCGCATCACTGAGGGTCGCTGCACATGGAAACTCGTCGTTGTCAGGCTCGACATGGCATTCCAACTGTCCGCCGTAAGCCCCGAACCGGCCCATGGGTAGAGCTGCATACATGCCCAAAACCCGCCGGCGGCGAGATGCTCGGTGCTACGCAGTTACCTCTTGCGGGCGTCGATGACATCGTTGCTTGGCTCTCGTTCATGTCATGGCAGAAAGGTCGACGCATGCCAGCACAGCAAGCCGACTATCTACAAGTGCATTGCCCACGGCGCTGTGCCTCTTGGCAGGCGCGTGTGCGACGCAAGCGATGAGGCGATGTGATATGGAGCATGGATTTGCTGAGTCGCTGCGGTGCAGACAAATGCAATATATATGGCGGGCAGCCGCTCATTTGCTGGATAAACAAGCTTGGGCGATGTGTGGGTAGTGCCTGACACTGCACGAGGTGGGGGGAGGGAGGGGAATTGTTTCGATGAGTACAGACAGCACTGTAGATTGCATACTCCAATGGCCAGCTATGTCGAGCTGATGGGTGGTTTCAGAGGCTCTTGAGCCCTGTCGAAGCTTGGTGGAGAGAGGGCCCCAGGATGCGGGCAAAATGCTCCGCGGAGCGGGCAAAGTGCTTGTTCGGTATTGGTGGCCGCTGGCAAGCAGAGCGATCGATGCCTAGAAGGGCGACAGCTCCGCCGCGATCCCGCAGCAGACCTCGAGCCGTGGGCACCAAACAGCGACGCAGGCTCGGTTGCAGCCAGAATGCATGCAGCCGTCGTGTGCTACTGCTTCCCCGTGCACAACCTGAGCCCTGAACTGCGAGCTGCTATTCGTCTTGCCCGGCGATTTTCCCAGCGATAAAAGTCCCTCGCCGTACTCAGCCGTAGCATACCTTTGCAGTGCCCTGGTGTTGTCCGCCTTTGTGACCAACGGGCCGCGCTGTCTTTCTTAGCGACGCTTGTGAGTAGTTCGGGGTCGATTCCAGCCCACTGGGAAACCGGGCCATGGTCTGATGCGAAGCCCTCTGCACATACATACATAACTTGCAGCCGCCACCCTTTGTCACGTCGCCATCGCCAGGGCTCGCCGACCAGCTTTGACAAACGGTTAATTCGACCTGTGCGCCTTTTCCTTCTCTCCAGGGCAGTCCTTGGGTGTCGAGTAGATTACAGTTTACCAAACCTTCGGTGTCCCGCAAAGTTCCAGTGGCCAGACTCCAGGGATTTTTAGTTGAGCTGCATGCACGTCTGACGTTCAACGGCGCGACCTCAGCACCGGATCATATATTCCTGGGTCCATTCCAACTTTATTCATAAGTTAGCAGTGCTCCTTTGTTGCTTTGGCATTTCCTGGATACTTTCTGCCCAACGGCCACCATGACGACACCAACCGATACTGGCATGCCGGACAAGGGCAAGAATGTGGAGCGCGGTACTCTGGGCAAATATGTGAAGAGGATGAGCACTGTGTTCAAGAGGGAGAAGTCGAGCAAAAGTGTGCCGACCATAGCGGCTGAAGCGTCTTCCGCCCCCCAGGCTGGGCAACAACAGCCAGTCGCGAAGGATGCCGCCAAAGAGGACAAAGCGAAACCGGATGTCACACCTGCCACGTGAGTATTCGATATCTAACATCACTCTAGATTCCTATACTGATTCTATAGTCCCATGACTTCTGGCGTATCAGCACCATCAAGTCCAACCACCAAGGAAATGGATCGCAACGCTATGCAGCAGGAAAGAGCTCGTGCTCTCTTCGCAAAGTACGGCCTTACTCTAGAATCGCACGAGTGGATCGCCGCGCCAGCCCCCAAGCCTACCGTGCAGCGAGTGGAGAAGTCGATCCGTATGCGTGTCCACCGTAGTTGCCATCGTTGCGGAACTCTTTACGGCGCTGACAAGGTGTGCCTGCAATGCGAGCACAAGCGATGCAAGAAATGTCCGCGATACCCGAAGAAGAAGACGCCCGAGGAGAAGCAGGCTGAAAAGGAGGGCATGGAACAGCCGAAACGAAAGAGAATGCTCACCATCCGGACGCGAGGCGGAGACGAACTGGTATACCAGCCCGCAAGGCAACGCATCCGACGTACCTGCCACGTATGCGAGAAACTTTTCAACCCCGCAACGGCAAACGTCTGCGATCAATGCCAGCATGTCCGTTGTACAAAATGTCCACGTGAGCCTGCCAAGCTCAATAAGTGGCCCAATGGGTATCCAGGAGATGCTGCTGAGCCTGACAGCGAGACCGAGGTGGAAAAGCAGCTTGACAAGTTTAGACGAACATGGAGAAAGCCCAGGCAAAGGGTGCGGTGGCAGTGCGAGAAGTGCAATGGCCTCTTTCACAACAACTCGCCGCAGTGTCCTGGGTGCGGGCATGAAAGATGCGACAAGTGTACAAGATCACCGTGAGCATATCCATGATAGCACCTTCACATGTGCACTGCTAACAATCCTCAGTGTCAGGAAGACTGAAAAGGGAGACCGTTTTGATGCTCAAGTTGTCGCGGCTGTAGAAGCCAAGCTGCGAGCCATGGATGTCGATGATGACTCGCCCTCCTCCGCAGCTGAGGCTACGTGAGTGCAGCGGTGAGCGCATTTAGAATCGTTCCGTACTACAATCATCACGATCTTGTTACCCCTTCATTTGACACATCTTACTGGATTCTTGCTCCTGTGTTGAACTTTGCTCAATGGTGACAATCCCGAATAAGCTCAAATCACTGTGACCAAGAGCCCTGTCAACCAAGCTAGCTGCCACCTGGAATCCACATGAGGTGGCGTTTTCAGCGTGCAATGTGGGGTCTTCCATGTGACAATAGATATATGTCGTGCCTGTGAAACGAGTACGGCGGATGTCAGATGAGCTATTGGGACTCATAAGGCTGCGATGTTACTTCAAAACGCCGTGTCATGTCTGAATCAAGTTGTATTACGTGAGAAGTGCGTGGTGGTTAATATGAAGCAGTATTTGGATAGTGATAATCCTGACGGTACTAAGACATGTTGCCTGTCTGGTCAGGCCTCTGGTATCGTCCCTTGAACTATCTACTCCCCAACTTACAAGGAGGTCTCTGCTTACTTAATGGCGTACGGCGTCCAGTGAAGTGGGGAAGCGGCACAGACGTCCTCATTCGCGTGTTGAAACGTCACAATCCTCCACTTTGTCCTTCACCTCATCACGTGGCACTAATCTCAACAAGGAAACTGGTAGAGAAGGCATGTTTGTGGATCTCAAAGCTGGTGTTATTCTCCATCCACTACTTCACTACGGATGGAAGACATCAACGTCACACTGCCCCTTGAGATTGCTGATTCGACGGCATGGTCTCGCATACCACAAGCTTGGTATGTGGTCGTCAGATGAACCCATAGTCGATGCACAATGGCTATATCACTCTATGTACCTTATCAAGCAATCCCGTCTCGACAACCGCTCCAATTTCCGCAATCTAGCCCATGCTTACTCACCCGTTGGACCCCCACTCCAAACGTCAAGCTGTGCTTTCTAGCTCGATGCATCCTGGTCAGCACATGGAGGCAGAGTTTGCAAATTAATGTGGCGCTCCGGGTCTGGATCTAGGTGGCCGCTTACTGAAATCCTTGTTCGCTGGTTACTGTTTGGGAGGATTGCTTGGATGGATTGAGTGAGCGATCATCACAAGCAGTAAGCCGTGAGATGCGTATTGTTAGACGCACAGTAAACTATGCAATCGTGCTTGGACAGTATTAGACGGGATCGTAATTATGATAAGATGCGCAAAGATAAGCCTCGCAGTCGCAGATATTCGGGCGGAATGAAGAATGGCTACTAGTACTCTGAAACAACCACCGAAGTCCACAACAGCGATGGGAGTATGACAGCGAACTAGTACTGCATCTGCCTGGAAGTAAAAGCCCCGAGGCCACTATTGCAGCCGTTGGACGCTCGCTCGTACATGACTTGCGGACTGACGCGCCATTGTGTACTGCTGTAGTTCTGCCCTGTCCCAAACCATTTACGAAACGGCACAAGAGCTACAGGACAAGAACGGGTTTGTTTTTGGATAATGGCTTGATCGGAGTTGTTGTGGGAACCGAGCATCGAGCTCTCCCATCAGCTGACTAGGTGATGAAGACGACGCGTTCCTCACGCGTCTGTCGTGTCTGGCCGTCTTTGCTTGTTCGAAAGGGCCAAGAGAGTCGGCGGAGAGGGCACGGATGGATGCAGGCGCGCCGTGTCTCTTTGGAGCAGAGATGTGCCAAATATGCTGCGGGCTGATGCATGCGTACCTTGGATGGGCGTGTCGCGTGACGATAGTATTTCCAGTGACGTACGTCTGTGCGGGACATCAAACAGCTCCGCCCCGCCGCTTCATATACAAGGCAGCAGCGCCGCACACAATTCCCCAAAACCAAACCACATCTTCTTCACTCGACCAACCTCGACATCACGCAATACCGCCATCATGATGAACTTCGTCCTCTCGCTGCTCCTCCAGCTGTCTATGTTCATGCTCGCCGAGGCAGCTCCCATGACGGTGCAGTCAGCTAAGCCGTGGCAAGCTGGTACCGGCGGTGGCATCATTGGATTCATCGTCCTTGTTCTCGACATCATTGCCTGGAGTAAGCAGCAACCACGTCCCCCACGCCGCGCTTGTCGCGCTTCGTTCAAAGCTAACACGTGCTGCAGTCGAGATCTTCAAGTCCAACCGCCCCGTCCCCAACAAGGTGCTTTGGGCACTCGTCGTCTTCCTCTTCCCCGTCGTCGGCATGATCATCTACTACCTCTTCTCCAACCGTCAAGCCCACAACACCTACGAGCCTATTCCCGCATAAGCGACATGACCGATCTACACGTATCGGACACGCTACGCACCCAAGATACATCCATGGGCCCCTGCAAAACGAAAGACATGTTCTCATGAGCGCGAACGCATAGATGCGATGAGGTGGTGCATGATATATAGGTTTTACTACTGGCATTTGGCGAACGGTGTTTCATATCTCATACCCGCTGATATAATAATCAATTAAGCTGATGAGCATCCACTTGCTTCCCTTCTACCCTTGAGTCGTAACTGACAGTTGATGTATCCAATCTCACCCATCACCGCTCCCACACGCCCTGCTGGTCCGGCGCATACCAACTTAGACTTTCCCAAAGATACCTTCCGCCGTGGCTAACTTGGCAGACAACGCGATTAAACCACCCATCAAGCTCATCACACCACTAAAGATGGATACCTCCCTGAAGCCGCCATACCGGTCAATAAACGCGCCGTTAATGGGAGGGCCAATGAGGACAGCAAACGCCGCAATACCCATGCCCATGCCCATGTACGTCCCAAGGTTCCTCGGATCCTTGGTGCACTTGGAAATAGCTGCTGAGCCAGCTGAGATGATGGTGCCCGATACGAAACCGAAGAAGATGGAGTAGACGATGATACCAGCGTTGGTCGTTGGCTCGTTTATGCAGAATACCATGACGCTGGTGCCAACGCCCGCGAAGGCGAACATGTTCATCCCACCGAGCTTATCCGCTAGTATTCCTGGGATAATGCGACCGAATGTCGAAGATCCGTTAATCATGGCGAGAAGGTAGGATGCCAGTAACGGACTCATTCCTCGGCTGACAGCATAGACCGGGAGATAGAAGACCGGTATCCACATACCCATCATCATGAAGAACAGTCCTGCAACGAGCAATAGGTATCGCTTAATCTTCCATGCTTCTCCGATGAAGATGGTCGTCTTGCGAGGCGGAACACGCGGCTTGATGATGAAGCAGGCAAACAACATGAAGGGAACCATGATGAAAGCGACGATGCGAATGGACCAGCCAAAGGATAGGGAAGAGCTGTTGAGCAGTTTAGACAAGACAATGGGAAAGATGACGCCGCCGACGGAAGACCCAGACGCCACAATTCCAAGAGCAGCCGCGCGTCGCTTGTCGAAGTAATGGCCCATTACTGCAAAGGCAGGGAATTGGAGAAAAGCCACGCTGGTGCCCATGAGGATGGACTGCGCAAGGAAGAATTGGTAGTACTCTCTGCACAAAGAGACCATCATCAACCCAAGGACGTAGGTAAGTGTTGCGGGTCGCATCATCTATTCGGCCAGTCAGTACAATTTCAGTCTCGTGGAACCAAAGAATACGCACCCAAGCTCCGTAACGATCAAACATCGGTCCTCCGATAGCGCCTCCAGCAAACTGGATGAAGCTGGCTAAGCTACCTATCCACGCAATCTGATCCATGCTATGGTCTTTCAGTTGGTGGGTAGAATAGTATTGCTGGAGCACTCCGAAGCAAGAGGTGAAGCCGAGACAGCAGAAGAAGATGCAGAAGCCGCCAAAGGCGTTGAGCCAGGCTGTCAAACCTCCGTCGGGAGCAGGGCCTAGAGCGGCGATTTCGGCATCGGTGACTGCTTCACTGTTGTCGTGAACTGACTCATGAGATGCCTTTTCGATGTCGTAGGAAGGGACTGAAGGGGAGCTGGTGCCTGATGCGGCGTCTGGAATTGTAGATCGTGCAGACATCGTGAGCTTGTATCCGAAGATCCTGCGATGAAGTTGTTTTTGATCGATGTGTCTGATAGCGAAGTTAATTGGAATTACACTGTCCATTTCGACGAGGTATATATACAACTCAGACTTCTGTTATATCGTCATAGCAAGAGGTTTTCGGGGTCGGTATTCATTCCAATCGGAGATAAGGACGCGTGCTTATTGGTCCACTTCACCGAAAAGTGCAGCCATATCCGACTTTTAGATCAAGTCACCGACATTTATTCCCGCTCCACCTACTCTTATACTCAGCTTCACCACATTTACCCACAATCCTGAATCCCATTTATCGAACAAACAGGCATCACCGAGAATGACCGACTTCAGTCGCAGACGCAAGAGACTCGCTATGTGAGTTGACTTGGTAGCCCCGCCACTATAACCGAAGCTGACATATCCAGCTCTTGCACATTGTGCCGTAGAAGAAAGATACGCTGCAATCGAGAGATGCCATGCAATAATTGTTTGAGGAGCAAGACCGGGTCTTGTGTTTATGAGAGTGAAGTATCAGACAAGAGGCCAGCCCCAGTACATGTTACACCCATACAACCACACAACAGTAACTCAACGTTCATGGGCGCACCGAGTATGCTTTCGAGTTCGTCGACCACAACACCTGGTGTAGTTAGTAGTCAATCCTCGTTCGAGATGGACGCTATGAGGGCACGCATTGCCGAACTGGAAGACAAGTTGTCGCGAACGGGAAGCACTACTAGCTCTGTCTTCTCGCCGTCAGCTTCCACTCCAACGTCAACTCATACCGTGCAAACTGTCAGCAGTTTTGCCTGTACAGTGGACGTCATCCAGGATACTCGGATGCCTGGTGGTGCCGCTATCTCTCGAGGCATTGCGCATAAGAATCGGGTTTTTGGCCAGAGCCACTGGATGAATGGGTTCGTAATGTACCGCGATATCATCGAGATGATGGAGCCTCACCTCCACATGAGATCATCCAACCTAGTTCCCAAAATGCAACGAGTTAAGTCACTGGCCCGGATGGTCAAGTCACACCGCTCTCCAACTTGGCCTACGCCTCCAACGCGGGACTTTCCTCCAAGACACGTCTGCGACGATCTAGTTGCTGGCTACCTCCGCACCATCGAGACAATGTATCGCGTGCTACACGTCCCAAGCTTCAAGCGCACGTATGAACACATGTGGACAAGCGACCCAGAGCCTAACATGGCATTCACAATGATGTTCAAATTGGTCTTGGCTATTGGTGCAATGATATACGATGACAAAGTATCCATGCGAGCCGAAGCAGTGCGATGGGTTTTCGAGGCTCAGACTTGGCTCTCATCGCCCTTCTTCAAATCGCAACTTGGTGTTCAATATCTCCAGATCAGCATCCTTCTTCTCCTTGCACGAGAGCTTGTCGATGTAGGCTCTGAGCTTGTATGGATATCTGCAGGAGCGGTCTTTCGAGCAGCAGTATACATCGGTTTACACAAAGATCCGTCACAACTGCCGAGAACAACGGTCCTTGAAGCCGAGATGCGCCGCCGGATATGGAACACGATTCTCGAGCTGTCGCTTCAGATGAGCATGGAGTCAGGTGGACCGCCGTTCTTCTCATCGGACGACTACAACACAGCGCCACCAGGCAACTTTGATGATGAGCAACTTCTAGGCTTAGAGCCCTTCGCAAAGGCAGACGATGTGTATACGCAAACATCGATCTCCATAGCTTTACGGAAAACCCTCCCAGCTCGCCTTGCGGTACTCAAATTCCTCAACGATATCAAATCGACTGGGACGTATGAGGAGACGCTTCGCATCGACTCAGACCTGAGAACAGCACATAAGCTCCTGCGTCGCACCATTCAAGCATACACCACCTCTACCACCTCGTGCCCATCGCAATTTACATTGCAAGCTGTCGAATTTGTTATGCAGCGCTACATTACCTGTCTACATATTCCATTCTTCGCTTCCGCACTCCAAGATCCGGTGTACGCCTATTCGAGGAAAGCTACCGTCGACTCGTCGCTCAAGATCTGGAGCATGGCGTGTCCAGCTTCAGGTGAAAACTCGTATACTCCAAGTGAGACAGACCTAGCGCGCATGTGTCGATGCACAGCGGGTTTCTTCCGAATGTACACCTTCCACGGAGCAACGTTCTTGGCCAATGAAGTAAGAATACGGATCCAAGAAGACGAGGACGACCTACATGCGTCACCGCTACCTCTACGAAACATTGTTGGCGATGCTGCGGATTGGTATCTCCGATGCATACAAGCTGGAGAGACAGGTATCAAGGGCTACCTTCTCTTGCGCCTCATTGGCGTTTGGATTGACGCGACAAAACATAACATGAGCCAGTCGGATTTGTCTGCATTATTGGTGGAAGCGTCAGAACAAGCTGCCGAGGTTTGCATACCGATCTTGGAGGCCCTGGCTGGCAGTCAAGAGCCGTCTTCGGGTACTGTTGGAATTGGCGGAATTGCTATGGAGGATTTCAACTTTCAATTATCCCCCGAGTTCACGGAGGACTGGGATATGCTCATGTCAGGCACTTTCAATATGGACGACATAGGGAGTTTCGACGCGTTCTTGTCGTGATGGTGGGGCTCGAAATAAGATCATGAAGATACTCAGCGGGGACGGGCATATGTCGGATAGAGAGACTTGAAGAGGCAGACATGCTCTGATCAAGGTGCTGTCGTTTCGCACGTTGACAGCGGCTGTCACATAATCGACAGAAGAGGCTAAAAGAGGAGAGTTCGGGGCTTTCGTTAGACGCCTAATGCATGAAATGCACCGTGCGCGGATGACGATCTTCCCGCGCTAGAATCGCTCCCCAATCATCCCATCACCACGCCGCACTTCTTTTTACCGCCACATCTTCGATCACGACTTACCAAATCCATTGCAGCGACGCCTCAGAGTTCCTCTATTAATTACTGGTGCTTACACTTATGATGACATTTCGGCGCGATCCGTCAATATTCCACGAGGCACCCTAGCGCCTACTAGGGGCGCTTAAGAGCCTCCATGTAACCTGATACACCATGAGCCTCATAACCACCCCTTATCCGGCAATCCACGTCGCAGTGCAGTATGAATGACAGCCATCATCGTTCTTGCGGCCTCATATATCACGTCGAAGTGGCCTGATTTTTTTGTTCCCTTGTCGCCTTTTTTTCTCCATCCCGAACTTCTGGTATACCTCAGGCAGTGGAACCAAACCTCACCAGCAACGAACTTTCTTTTCTTTTCGTTCGTCTATACATTCATTTCTTGAGGCGTGCCGGTCACCAAAATATCTTTCTAATAATATCTTACTTCTTCTTGTCCCTCTCTCCATCAATCCATTCCTCAGGACGAACCCAAAAAACATCGACGACGTCATGCATTCCTCACTCCTTACAAACATCTTCATCGCCCTCTCGGTCTTTCATCTGGTAGCCGCTGGCCCAAACCCTGTTCCTGTTCTCCCCGGCGGCCTCCTCAACACCAAACTCGAAGTCCGCCAAGTCTCCGCCACACCTTCGCAAGCTGATTTGTGTCTCGACTACGAACGCACAGCCAACATGTCGACCGTCGGCGCCAACGGCTCTTACCGTACTGTCGTCATGCAAAAAGCCAACGTCGGTACCCTGACCAGCGCGCGCATGATGGATGCTGCCATCGCGAAGCTACCTGCCCTCACGGCCGATGCAGATCTGAACTCCAGGTGTGGAAACTGGACGGAGATTGCGCTAGTGGAGGCGGAGAAGAACTTCACTCAGGGCATCGTGGCACAATTTACGACCGAGGGGCTGCCTGTTGGCATCTTGGCTGGACCAGAAGTTTTAGTCATCGTGGGTGTTATTGCTACCCTTTTCTCAATCGTGTGGGTATTCCCCGGTTAATTCTCAACAAAGAAGTTGAAGCAAAATATCGGAGGTTGGAACAAGTAGAGAAGAAGATGGTGGAAGGTGCATATGCTTGTGCGTTCATAAGAACGCACAAGACTAGAGTCAATTATACCCAAATTTCCATGCTCCAATGAACTATCAGGCTGGTATTAACGTGTCAAATTCGTGTGACGCGTGGTGCAAGTGGTGACAACACATCGAAAGCAATGTATAAATGCAATGCAAGTATATTCAAGAAATAAATGTATGTACAAAACCGAACACGCAACTGCTTCAGCTCTCTTCACTCATACCAGTGAGCTTGTATCACCAAGATTCGTCGTTGCTCAGAAGGTGACAACACCGACACCAGCGCTCTTCTGCACGATAGCGCAAACGCTGGCCGCAGGGTCAACAGTGTACTTGTAGCTGGGCGCGAAAGAACCCTTCTGAGTAATCTGAGTAGGGCTGTTGGTGAAGATGTTGTCCTTCTCGACGGCAAAACCTTCCTCATCAGAGTCCAAGTTGGTTACAACAGCCTTGTCGACACCGGTGAAGGAGTTGGCCTCAACGAGGACTTGAGCGCCCATGCGCGAGTTGACACCGGAGATACCGCCCTCATAGCAGGAGCTGTAGATGTGTCCGGTGCCGAAACGGATCGAAGGCAGACGCGAGTTGACGCCAACGAAGGAGTTGTGGTGGTAGGTAACGTGAAGCTTGCCCTTGTCCTTGGAGGCATTGTTGTCAGAGTGGCCTACGAGAGAGCCCTTCCACTTCTGGGTGTTAGCATTGACTATATTATGAGCTGATAGCATGGTGCAGACTTACGTGGTCGTGGAACTTGTTCCAGGAGAAGGTAAGCATATCGGCTCCAGATTTGGCGTCAAGCAGGCCATCGTATGTGTCCTTGTCGCCGGTAATACCAACACTGGAAAAGTCGTTGTGGTCAACCCATACGTTGGTCGAGCCCTCAATGTCGATGAGGTCTTTTCCCTTAGGAGCGCGGTACAACTTGAGGTTCCGGATGATGATGTTGGAGGTCTTGAAGACTTGGAGACCAGAGTCTGTAAGACCAGCATCCTTGCCAACACCGAGGATAGAGGTGCCAGCGGTACCGACGCGGATGACGCCGCAGCCAGTGAGCATGCCCTTGACCTTGATCACTCCGCCAGCCTTGGCCGCAGCAGTCAACTCAGCGCAGGAGGTGACAGTGGTGCCTGCACCGCTTCCTCCTCCGGTGGTGCCTGCGGCGAATCCAACAAGCTCGTCAACAGCTGCAGCGCGTTTCTCCATGGGTGCGCCATAAGCAGTTGAGGCAGCGGTCATAGCCGCGGTAGCAATCTCGAAAAAACGCATCTTGGTGTAGTTGTGAGGTTGGTAAAATGAGAGGCAGAAGAGAACGTATTGGTTTCAGAGAATGTAAAAGAATGAACAGAGATCGACTCTGAAGTGATGAAGGAAGGTGATGGATGGCGAGATAGGCAGTGATGTTGAGGATGTCTTTATACTGGAAGATCGAGGCTGGAGGATCTAGGCTGCTGGGACCTGTACAGGCTCCATGATCGTCAACTTGGCCGCCCTTAATACTACGAGTCGGGGAACCAACTCGAGAATGTACGAGGTGGAGTTTCTCCGCGAATATATGACTTTTGTCTTGGCTTTCAAGAGACTTCAAGCAGGAGTTCGTGTTCCACCAAAGGTATTAGTGTATAGCGGTCTCGTGAGCTAATACGTGATATAAAGGCTTGACAGCAGGATGTGCATGGTAAACCTGGGGTGCATACCTGGGGAAACCTCAAAAGCCGACGGCTTTCGATTGTTGCATTAGCGCTGAGGAAGTCCGAGAACCTCTAGGTACAAATCAGAATAGGAAGTACAATATAGGAGCAGGCGCCACTGTTTGACATTGTTGCGCAGAATGCTTGGCTGTCAGTGTGGAGAAAGACCACCAATGGGATGAATTTGTGGGTCCAGAGATCACCATCCATGCCAAAGTGGAAGTTGCAGTGACAGCACACGGTAACTCAAGCTCACGTCGATGAATGGGTGGAAAAATACCTAGGTTTCAATATACTAACCAGGACGATAGCGAAGTAGTCTGAGCGTTGGTTGGAGTGGAGACGAGGAGGGACGGCCCTATCGGACATAAACTAGCCTGCGACTAGCCTCACGAAGACAGCTGTCAGAACACGAAGGTTCTCCTAGCAAGCCAGCAACGTGATTACTGGATATCTCGATATAATGAGCTTAACGGGACAGATGCGAAATCAACTATATCGTGCTCCAAACAAGGCTCAAGCGAAGAACATATCCAGTGTTCTTACACGCGCTAGACATCGAGTCAAGATGGTGGAGGCATTCGAAAGCCCAAGAACGCCAAGATGAGATCTGACTTGTGTCGAAACACCAATTTCTAGGCGCATGTTGTTCCGACTCTAATTCGGCGGTATGTGCTCCGAAGAAACGTCTTGACGCTAACTCGTTCAGCGCATGAACGCCGGATACACCAAGGGCTCCTCGTTTGTACATCTGCTGGAAAGCACAATCAATAAGTTTTTGCGCTGTTCTCGGTGTTATTGATAGATCTCGTCCGCTTTCGCCTGCTGAACAGAGTTTTCATTGTCGCCTTGAACAGCACGCACCTAGGGCTTGAAAGGTGGGCTGACAATGCTTCGAGCGAGTGCCGCCTCCTTGCAATGACGTGGGGTGCGTATGTCGACCCAAACGGTATCCGCAATAATTCCCTGGGTCTTCAGGCCATTGGCAGTTCTCCTCGTCTGTCTGTTTGCGTAAGATCCTGTAAATGTTTTCATGGTTTCCCAATCACAGGAAATATCATCGGGCAGATATTCACCGCGCCTTTAGCTTACGCTCATGTCCGCCCCTCAGCGGCGGTCATTGGTACTGCGCTTCGGCGTGCAGTTTTAACTATGATCCATATGAGATATTTTAGTGAAGTGTCTGGGTTTCTACGGATCGTCAGTCTCAACTAAGCAACACTGCAGCCGGATCATTCACGTGATTGAGTCGACAGATACAATCTGGATAATGCTCTCGACACGTCATCTACGTTCACCAGTCTGAATGTCCGCTAGGTTTCTTGTGGTTCCAGAGCGGCCACGACCGGTAACATCAGTAGATGTATCGAGATATCATCAATATGCTTTCTTTGCAACAGAACCTTTACCCCTTATCATGCGCTAGCCGAATCACGGGTCGGCGGATGTATTTTCGGTTTTCGCTGTTTGTCGATCATCCCTGATGGCAATGATGTAGATTTGAAGGTACTTGATCTGACATACCCGATGTCCGGATCAAAGGAGCTGAGTGTCTAGAAATTCAGGTGCTAGTTACAGACATGGACAATGAACAAAGCTCTTTATAGATACTACCTAGGTACGCGACATTGGCCGTGGTGTATAGGCCACCGATAGAAGCTCAACGTCACTATCAATCAGCTACACAATAGTATCGTAGAGACTGACTCTACCGTCGAACCCAAATATTGCATGCGTTTCTTCAAAAGATGCTGCATAGGTACACAAGCCATGGAATCGACATCCTCTGGACAGCAAGTACCGGTGACTACTTCTCATCATTTCACTACACCCTCACTGCATCTCATTAGACCGGTTCTTAGCATATGGGCTTCACACTCGTTCAATTTTGCTTCTTCCTTTGATTTGCCCGCAAGACCAATGAGATTGGAGACCATTCTGACAACCAACGTTCTGTAGAGGAGAGCCAACCGCTGCTTGGACATCAACGATCCTTGAATTCAATGAAAGCATCTTGAAGGAGCTGCCAACTCAAACAATAAGCAACTCTTTCTACTACTGCACAGTTTGACGATGCTGGTGTCTCAAGCTCTCGCATGCAACAACCTAAACCGCCTTTGGCAAGGCAATCAGAAGCTCAATTTAGCGAGTGCGTTCGTGTGCGATTGCATAGGTCCGCGTCTCAAGAGTAATCCATCGGACCCATGTTTGCGCAACCTGGCGGCTGTGAATAACGAGCTAAAGCGTCATCAAGTCGAGATGGGAAGCCACTAACGGGTGTCGCAGCCGAGAAGAGCATCATGCTAGGATGGTGGGCGATTGTGTAAATAAACCTCGGGAGGCTAAGAGTCGAATCGTGGCGGTGCAAATATCGTTTCGCATACACAAGCTACAGCTTAGACAGCTTCCCAATGCTTGTGTACGAGATACGCATGTAGTTTCTCTCAATCTTCTCTGTTCATGTTCTATTCCAATCTCGGGCCGTTTAGTGACGAATTATAAGCGCTAAAGCTATCGATCAGGCTAGATTCGCGGGAAGATCCGTGGATCACGCTAGCCGAAACTACGTATATCGTATTGGCGTATCCCAACCGTAAGGCCGTGATGATCAAGGTAATAAAGGTCGCCAACTGCTGCCACAGCTGACTGAGCCACAAACACCATTCTAAGATCTTTCAAAAATCTCTCATGATGAGACCTCGACCAGATAGTACCCAAGCACCGATACCAGTGGAGTTTGAACAAGGCAATGGCGTACATCGTATGCGAGCGCGACCGGATAGTACCCAAGCACCGATGCCTGTGGAATACGAACACGACTATGAAGTACACCACACGGATGCACCACCACCATATACTGCGGAAGAGCTGACCGGCTCAATACCACAGCCAGGGGACACCGGTGTAACAAGTACGTTTACAGATTCTCACTGCCCACAGTCGTGCGCAGGTGCTGATATTATGCAGACGATGGTCGCATCGACATTGACCTCAACTCACGACTCACCAAGACACTCGTCAAACTCGTGCCGAAGCATGAAAAGGAAGAACCAGAACTCAGTCGCCGATATACCATCAACAGGTTATGGAGCATTCGTTTAAACATTGTCATCCAAGTTGTTGGAAGTCGAGGCGATGTGCAACCATTCATCGCTCTAGGTCAAGAGTTGCAAAGATACGGACACCGCGTGCGAATAGCGACACATAACACATTCGAAAGCTTTGTGCACGAGTCAAACCTAGAATTTTATCCCATCGGTGGAGATCCGAAAGAGCTCAGTAAGTCAATGAAGCTGCATGCTGCAAATTTTCTGGTTCACCCTGTTAACATGTAGCAGTGGCATACATGGTGAAGAATCCAGGTCTGATCCCTTCAATGAAGAGTCTGCGAGAAGGCGACATCCAGAAGAAAAGAGACATGATCACAGAAATGCTCTACGGCTGCTGGCACTCATGTGTCGAGCCGGATCTGAAGACTGGGCAGCCGTTCGTGGCAGAAGCAATCATCGCCAATCCGCCCAGTTTCGCGCATGTACATTGTGCTCAGGCGCTGGGTATTCCACTTCATCTTATGTTTACTATGCCCTGGAGCAGTACGCGAGCCTTTCCGCATCCGCTGGCAAACTTCAAAGGTGGCGAAATCTCGACCGCGCTGATCAATTACGCGTCTTACGGCGTAGTTGAATTCCTAACATGGCAGGGTCTTGGCGACGTCATCAATCGGTTTCGCCATTCTCTGGACCTGGAAGATGTTCCTGTATCGGTTGGGCCTGTACTCGCTTCCACGCTCAAAGTGCCCTTCACATATTGCTGGTCTCCGGCATTGGTTCCAAAGCCAGCGGATTGGGCAGCGCATATCGATGTCTGTGGTTTCTTCTTTCGTGAGCCAACGCCGTACACGCCGTCTGCGGAAATCGATCAATTCCTACGCAATGGACTTCCGCCGGTATATATAGGCTTCGGAAGTATCGTCCTGGACGATCCGGCGAAGATGACGTCAAGCATCCTAGAAACTGTACGCGCTCTAGGTATCCGAGCGATCATCTCGAGAGGATGGAGCAACCTGGGTGCCGATTTGCCAAACGACAACAAAGACGTCCTGTTCATCGGTGACTGTCCCCATGAATGGTTATTCCAGCACGTTGCAGCGGTCGTTCATCACGGCGGAGCAGGTACTGCTGCTTGTGGGCTACGCAATGCGTGTCCTACTGTTGTCGTACCCTTCTTTGGAGATCAACCATTCTGGGGAGAGATGATAGCAGCAGCGGGAGCAGGTCCGATGCCTATTCCCCACAAACTCCTGACGGCCGAGAACCTTACACCAGCCATCCACTTCTGCCTCACGCGCGAAGCGAAGCAAGCAGCACGTGCTCTATCTTCGCAGATGGCGAGCGAACGTGGTGTCGAAGCTGCTGCGCAATCTTTCCATGCAAACCTGCCTCTCGAAACAATGCGATGTGCTCTTTTACCCACGGAGGTGGCTTCCTGGAAAACAAAGAAGGGGTCCATCCTCCTCTCCAAACTGGCTGCGCAAGTATTGATCGAGAACGGTGTGATTGTTTCCTCAGATCTTGAGAACCACGAAACGGACCCATTTATCATCACTAATCAACGTTGGGACCCTGTGACAAGCACGACTTCTGCGTGTGTCGGTATCGTCGGAGATATGGGTATGGCAGCGAAGGGCATGGTCGTGGATCCCTTCACCGAGCCGAAACACTCTGTCACCTCTTCAGCCGCCTCGACATCGTCAGACAAGTCAAACGGTGCGGCTGTTGCAGGTCGCGTGGCTGGTGGGGTCGCCAAAGGCTTTGGCAGATTCGTCGGTGCGTTCTACAAAGGCGTCATCGTTGATCTTCCCCTCGCCACCACGGAAGGCTTCCGCAACGTACCGAGACTGTATGGAGAAGAGGTCAAAGACCATGGAGAGGTTACCGGTGCTCTTTCCGGTTTCCAGGTGGGCGGAAAGAATTTCGTTCACGGCATAGCAGATGGTTTCTCGGATCCCTTCCGTCAGACGTACGAGGGCGGCAAAAAGGAGGGTGCGATCGGGTACGCCAAAGGATTTGGTAAGGGAATGGCCGGCCTCGTTACGAAGACGAGCGCAGCCGCTGTAGGGATAGTGGCGTACCCAGGAGACGGCATCGTCAAGAGTATGAAGTATCTGGCGAAGAGCGGAACAAGGAAACGTATCAGGGCGGCGAAATTGGTCGAAACCGAATGGATCGGCAGAAAGTTCGAGGCTGACCTGAACGCCATGGAACTCATACGGGAATTCGAAAGACTAAGAAAGGGCAAGGAGAAGGTGAGGACGTGAAGATGTAACGGCCACGGCGCGTGAGCCAAGGCAATGTTTGATGTGCAGTGCAAAGTAGACATGGAGTTTGGACAGATACCCTTTTTGAACAATTATTGTTAGATTTCCAGCAAGGCCGACCTGCATCTTCCAGGTATGTGATGTATGTGCTCTTACCTCACTCTTGTCCGTACAAGAGAGCCGTAAAGGTCGTAAGGGAAGGGCACTGTGGCGTGTGGAAGACGATAGCTGAAATAAGAGCAACGATGAGGATCATTTAAGGTAATTGTTCTTGCATACCTCAATTACCCACGACTGGTTGTACAGAAAAGGAGTGTGCTGTTTGTTAGAGGTGTGAGGCTGCAGGTGACACGAGATGTAGGCCCGCCCAATTTCCGTGACTGCGAATTCCGCCCCAACGGAATTCAGGCGAAATCCGCACCCAGCGCATCCCGCCGTCTTACAAGCTCGCGCACCAACACCGCCATAATGTTGAGGTTCCTCGTACCTAGTCCGCGTACGTGTACCATGGTCCGGAATCGATGATGGAAGCCGGTTTGCTGCGCAGTACTCCTGCTCGGTATGGCAGAGCGTGTAGCAATTGTGTGAAAGCGAAATGCCGATGCATGATACGCGGCGACGGAAGTTCCATCTGCGACAGGTGCGTCATTGATCCTATTCCATCAACCATCCCACGTCAAATCGACTGTCGCATGGCGCGTAAAGGCATCTGCGCGTTGTGTACGACAGGCGAGGATGGACATAGTGCGGGAGTCCTCGCTGTTGCACACCTCGCCACCTGTGTGACTATGATGCAGGACATGCAACACATTCTTAAGACATCTGAGCTAACCTGAGAACAACAGATGCCATCGACTGGGGAAAGAATGTAAATCCACATCTCCAGCGCGTAGGAAGGCATCAAAACCAACCCCAGTCCCAAAGAGGTCGAAATTGGAGGATAAACTTGATGAAGTTGTCTCGCTTCTTCGTACACAGCATGCAGCGCCTGTGTCAATGTCGCCCGATGATCAACTCGTACTCACGCCGGAGTCCTCAGTTTTTACTCAAAGATTATCATATAACCCCGAAAATCATGACCGCCTGACTCCTGAGCAATTAGTCGACTTTCGGACGACTTACCTACATCTCTTTCCCTTCGTGTACCTATCGGAGAACCTCACCACAGACGATCTTCATGTCAGATATCCACTGCTCTGTCATGCTATCCGCACCGTGCTCACCAAGGCGGTCACTCAGCAAAGCCGGCTGAGTAAGCAGTTACGAGAACAGCTGGCTTCTAGGATCATAGTGCAAGGAGAAAGAAGTATTGATGTGCTGTTGAGTCTGATCATGTGTATTGCTTGGTGAGAAAACTGTCACGTATAGCCCTCTCATGATTAACGAAATCTAGGTCACCGTACTTTACCCATGGTAAGCAATTTCTGGGCTCCATGTGCAATCTTGCGAAGACGGTGGTGAGCGATCTTCGTCTTGACAAGCCTGCGCAACCGACGGGATGTCCAAGTCTAGGTCCTCATGTGGATAATAAGGAAGTTCGGACAAATGAAGGCAGTAGAGCTTTACTAGCTGTCTTCATACTATGCGCGAAGTGAGTTTTTGATAGAATTCGGCTTGGCTTAACTGATCGCGGAAGTGTTTCAATAATATTCGAATACGACCTAATGCTCTGGTCATCGCAGATGGAAGACGCATCCGATTGTTTGAGCAAAGGCCGAGAATCTCAAGAAGACGGCATATTGGCTGCCAGTGCGCGTCTGGCGAAGATTGCGATCAGTGCTGCCGAGGTATCTCGAAGAGCTTCGGGTGATCCCAGTACAGCAAGATATGCTATGATAGCTATTGATCCTCTTACCCTGGCGCTTAGCAATTTCCAGAGATCGCTCGCTCCTGAATGTCTACAACACTGTAAGATCGTTATGCCGTCACCCCTTCAAACACCTAATTATATCTAGGGCTCATCATCGGGCTCACCCAAACAGCCCAGGTTGCCATTTATGAACTCGCGCTCTTGAGATCGTCCACAACTGAGATGGCAGCGTCGCAACTCGCCTTCGACTCTAAGCGCATCGGATACCTTATGGAACTCTTACAGACATGTAAAGCCTGTCGAGATCACGCTTTGGCTGGCGACACTATGAGTCTGACAGCTCCGTCAATGCTCATATGGTCCTATTGTTGCAAGATCTTGTTTCGACTCTCTAGCATCAAAGGAGTACCTGGCTGGGATCCAACAATTGTCCAATCGACTGTCGACATCGTGCAGTGCCTAGAGCAACTTGCAGAGATAGCTGAGCGGGCTAATTCCGAATATAAGGCTCAAACAGGCGAAGAAAGTCTGTTTGCTGCGGCCGCAGAGACACTGAGAGCTAAGGCGCCAAACTGGAAACTCCCTACGAGGGAGCATGATGACATCATGGACAGCGCAGCGGACGGTTGGAACAGCGGGTTGATTGGAGATATAGGAATGATGGACTTTTCGAGCGACTTTTGGATGCCTAGTGCTTTCAATCTTTAACTTACGCGAGAGTGCCACTGCCATACCTACATGGTCACGCTTTGGGGGAGCCGTGCAGATCGTAAAAATACAAGACTAGACATTTCATCGGTGCACCTATGGACGTAAGATTCATAGGAACCAAAGCCTTATCGTAAGTGGAGGAACATCTCCATAGCATGTTGTGGCCGATCTATTGTCCTGAGTGCAGCGGCGTTCGATCTGCTTTCCTTGACACAGATGCGGTTGCCTGAAGTCCAATTCAAACCCGAAACCCGTTCGATCACGCTCAGGCCTCCACAGTTACCATCGAAACAGTGCAACACATCAATGGACGATTCCTTCTTAATCTCTCTTCTTGTCTTTCTTGTATCTGGTCACTGCATGCCTGCATCGCGTTCTACTTTTCGCATTCATATACTTGTCTACCTATCTGACGCCATCTCGCTGCAACTCTACGTCTTAGATCGATACTGCGCAGATCGAATTAACTATAGGAGGCAGTCGACATGGCACATAATGGGAACATCACTCCAATGGACCAATATCTCAGTGGTCTGAGACTCTTTGTTCTTCTCGGCAGCTTGACGCTTGTTACGTTTCTAGTCTGCCTTGATACATCCATCATGGGTACTGTATGAACAATCTACAAGGCCGATAATAGAGACCAATACTGAAGATACCAGGCAATACCACGCATCACATCCGAATTCCACTCCCTCGCTGACGTCGGTTGGTATATTGGTGCTTTTACGCTTGCTAGCGCGACGCTGCAACCGCTTTCTGGGAAGCTCTATGCCCATCTCAGTACCAAGGTAAGCACCAGCTTCTTCCGAAAGAGTAGCATACCTCTAATCACCTCACAGATTGTGTTTCTCACGTTCGTGCTTTTGTTCGAGCTTGGATCTCTACTTTGCGCTGTCGCTAGCTCTTCGGCTTTCCTGATCGTAGGAAGAGTGGTTGCAGGCTTAGGAGCTTCGGGTATCGTCAACGGCGCTATGACGATGCTAGCTGCAGCTGTTCCAGCAGAGAAGAGTCCTGGTACGTCTGCAACTTTGTTAGTGTAAGAGAATAATGCTAATTAAGGTTTACAGTATACACCGGCATAGTACTTGGAAGTACGCATATTGTAGCCTGGAAGTAAACATGGTCGAATGCTGACCAGATGACAGCTGCACAAATGGGTATTGTCGCAGGGCCACTTATTGGAGGCGCTCTTACTGAGCATGCTACATGGCGTTGGTGTATGTTGAGTATTTTTTCACATCTTGTTTTGCCCTTGAAGCTGACTGTGGCTCCAACGTAGGCTTTTACATGAACTTACCGATAGGAGGAGCGGCAGCCGCGCTCATAACTCTTGTCCGCATTCCCGAGCGCACTTTGAAGCCACGTCTTACCGTATCCGTTTTTCGCAAAGTTGTTTCCGATCTCGACCTGTTCGGCTTTGCGCTCTTCGTCCCTCCATCTGTCATGCTACTTCTCGCTCTGCAGCTTGGCAGTAGCGGAGCTCAAGCTTGGGATTCCTCCGTCGTTATCGGGCTATTTTGTGGCGCAGGAGTGTGCGCCGTCCTCTTTATACTTTGGGAGAAGAGAGTGGGGGATCAGGCTATGCTTCCAGGAAAGCTGCTTGGGAAGCGCGTTGTCTGGACCAGCTGCGTGCACTCCAGCTGCATCATCACTTGTATGATGACAGCAAGTATTTGGATGCCGACCTACTTCCAAGCCGTGAAGAATAACGGTCCTACTGATAGTGGCGTACACGTCTTGCCAAGTATCTTAAGTCAGCTTTTGGCTGTTATCGCTACTGGCGCTGCAGGTATGTCTCCGTGCCGACTGCCCCATAGACATGTTGGCTCACCCTTATTAGTATCACGTATGGGATACTATCTCCCTTGGGCACTCGCTAGTGGTGTCATCACCACCATAGGAAATGTTCTGGTGTCAACGTTCACGGTATCTACAAGCACCGCGGTGTGGATTGGATATCAAATCGTTCTAGGCGCTGGTCGGGGATGTGGCATGCAGATGGTAACCAATAGTACTGCTCGAGTGGTTGCCCAATCACTAATACTTCCAGGCAATCATTGCAGTACAAAACGCCGTACCACCTTCCCAATACCCGATTGCTCTAGCCAGTCTCGTCTTTTTCCAGAACCTCAGCACATCTGTTGCTGTCGTTATTGCCAACACTATCTTCGCACAGACACTCACCTCCAAAATCTCACTTTACGTGCCGTCAGTATCGCCTCGGATTGTACTTGATACTGGATCTAGTGCCAGTGCCGTACGGGCACTTGTACCACTTGGAGAATTGGATGGTCTACTGAGAGCGTATTCGGAGAGTCTTCGCAATGTGTTTTATTTCTTGTCAGCTATAGCATGTATAGCTGTCATTGCCAGCCTAGGCATGGGTTGGAAGGACATTAGGAAGAAGAGTGCGGAACCGGAGAAAGACATAGCAATGGACGGAGTATGTCAAGACGGCAAGAAGTTGGAAGGGCCTTGAAGTAGTTGCGGGTGTGAATGACACCATGATTTTGATTTATAGATGCACCAAGGTATACTGGTGACGAGGACCAAACATCATAGTGGAGTTTTCCTAAGATTGCTCTATCCAACTGTAAATACGTTGCCATATTTCGTCGCTGTTCTTCTCCATAAACATCATATGCCCATTGCCATGGATACCAACTTTGCCAAGTTCGAGATGTGTAGCCTTGGAACAACCTGCCTGTTTGAGGAAGTTCACTGTGCAATAGTCGTACGGCGCATGGTAGCTGGCTTCCGACGTAACAGTGAGAATGGGCAGTGGCGCAATATTGATCAGCTGCCTCGGTGCTGGATCCATTGCTTGCAGCACACAAGGAACGGTCGCGTTGTTACTAGTCAGATTCGCAGGCTGATAAACTTGCTGGACCAGTTCTGCAGGGTCAGTTACTGGAGGTGAATAGTTCATCGGTATATCCGTCAAGCCCCACTTTCGCGCTGCTGCAGACCCGAAAACCGCTTCCTGGAAGGGTGGGCCCGTCGGCTCTAGCAAGATAAGTCCCTTCGCTAGACGGGGTCGAGCATCAGCTATGAGCAATGGCAGGATTCCTCCCTGACTGTGGCCAAGGAGCCAAGCAGGAGTGCCGATTAGATCCAAAAGCTGTGCTCCAGCAGACTGTACGGTGCTTTGCTGATAGGTAGCATTGGAAATGAACTGGACGTTCGAGGAGTAGAAAGCGTCAAAAGTTGGATCGCCCATAACGCCTGTTCCTGGCCATTGAGTGTGAAGTGTTGATTGAGGCCACAAGCGATATTGCTGCGGAGCAGTGAAGCGTTGTTGAATAAGCTCAGCAGAGTAAGTCGACGGGGCATCAGCGCCGGCCCTTGGTGCCCACGCGGAGCGGCCACGGAAGGTTTGGTCCACGATGTAGACTGTATGGCCAGCTGCAAGGAAGTGTGAGGTCCATGACACCCCTCCATCCGGCTTGACGAGAAAGTTTGTTCCAGTCTGACCTTGTCCGTGAATCAAAACGACGGGGGACTTCACATCTTGTTCGGTCGAAACAGGCGATAGTTTTTCGACGTACATCTGGTCCTTGAATATGTGACCGCCCTTGCCATCGTCGGCATAGCCACCGCCGACGTAAAAGTATGTCCGTACCGCTGGGACTTCAGATTCAATAGGCCGGTCATTCTGTGCTGACGCCAAGCAGGCGAAGAGCGTCAGATGTCGCAGAAGCTTCATAGCTGACGGGCCGCGTGGGACCTGTACTAAAGGGTGAAGATGAGACGAGGAGATGGTGTCGAGGTAGACTGCTGTGTTGTCGTGCTATGAGGCCAGCATATCCAGCAGAAAATCGCTGCTGCGTGGCTCTGATTCATCACACCGCCTTAGATGAGGATCTGCGGAGATGGTTGATCGAACTGGGCTTCATCCTTCTTACAGGGGTTTCATGCGGCTACGATCCTCCCGTATGTAAATTTCTTTTTCTTCGGTTCTTCGCGTGATACCGTAAGACACTAGGGCTCCCTTGCCCCCGTTTACTCGAATATGGTATAACTTTTTGAGGCGCCCCAAGAGTTCTACTGCTTGAAAGCGGAAGCCGCCGTTGTCGAACACGGCTGTTGTGGGTTCAGACAGATACCGGCATGGGCCGGAAGATTGTTCTTGGTCTTGGCTGCGGGTCCCATAATCCCGAGGTTTGTCCCCACCCGCCTCAAGAATTCGATTATCTAGCCTTAACAGGTAAAGCACTGGGCTGGTAGAACGGAGGTTTGACCCGCACGAGTACTGTACCGCTCCACGAGATGAACTTGCATGAATCTGATTCGACCTATTATCTTAAAAAAATGGAGGCTGTCTTATTCAATTCGAGGCTTGCGCCCGATTCCGATCCGCCTCCTCATACGATCCTAAGTCGGGCTTCTTTGTTGCTCCGTCTTCGCTCTGCGGATCTTGGAGGGATGTGCAGGATGTTATGCTGGTCTGGCGATAAGGCTGAAGCATAAGCTCCTCATCGTCTTTTGGCACGTTTGATAATCTTTTAGGTTGCTTGCCGCCGCTGCCTATGGTGCGTATTGTGGATGATGCGCCTGCGCGTGGTGCCAGTCTTTGAGATTTTCGACGTGAGCGTTGTCGCCAGATGTTGAACGCTCCATACAAAACAGGCGCGTTTACCACTATCGCAGCGGCAAGCAGCTCAGTGCTTGCCCATGTCGTCCGGTTTGCTTGTACAGCTGCATGCATTGCGTTGATTGGGAGTCGAATTATGGTGATTGCAATGATGAATACTATGGGGGGTTGAAGTCAGCGTATGTCTTACGTGCCATCGTTACAGTCAGGACCTACTTCCAAGTGTACAAAGAGCATAAAGGCGTATCTTTGTGCGCCATGGTGTTCGCAACGAAGAGAGCATTGGGAGTGGGAGGGCGAGTATCATGAAATCGGTGATCTAGCGACGGGCTCAAGTTAGCCTAACCACACTCAACAAAACATGTGTTTGGAAGCAGCGAGATGGACTCACGATGTTAAGGATACCTAGCACAAACAGTTGAACTTGTGCCTGAACACAGCTTCCGGGAGCTGGAACCACCTGCCAGTACAGATGGAAAGGGTCACACTCAGTGAAGCCAACAATCTGCGCAGCAACCCAAGTTGCAGCGAAGATTATGCCGTAGGACCAGGATATGTATCGCTTCCATTGTTCGCTTGGATGAATATGATGAAGGTAGAAAAAAAGTATTGCTGATTTCTGTAACCACAGGCTGTTAACATTGTTAGTCCACGTCGTTATGAACCAGTAGTACTCACTAGGTGTTGTAGATTGGACGATTCGTGATAGCAAGTTTGCTACCAACTGTGCGGCGATATATTTCGACGGGAGTGAAGTCTGTAGTCGCCCGGAGTTTTTCGGGCATGTTGTTCGTACCCCAAGTAAGGACGACGTGTATTACACCACCGCGCGTAGCAGCGCAGACCATCGCACCCATGGTACAGTAGTCTCCAAAGTCAAATTTCTTGAATAAAATCTTCCGGCAGACAAGGCGCGAGACCATGCAAATCATTGCGAGAGCGGTAAATAGATGATGGATAAATAATGTCTGGTCCATCTCGCACGGGCAGAATGCCTTGCCATAGCCTACGGGTGTTGTCCGCGATATGTCGAAAATAGCCAAGGATTCGATTGTGAAGACGAATCTGCATGTTTGCGATTGTCTCGTGTACGAATGGGCCAGCAATGACAAACCAGGGAGCCACAGTTTCGGGTATGGCCGAGGGACGCCGGATGCGCTCGCTGCCCAGGTGTTAACGCACTGACGCGACTGCCCTTGCCCTTGCCCCTGCTTTGATGGCGCGTCGACCAACCGATCTTCCGCTAATCGGGTGCTCGCGGGCAAGGTGTGGTTCTTCGAAGATATCGCAGTTATGTGAACGGTGGGTGGGTACCTGTTGTTTTAGTCTGTGTGCAAAGGAGAGGAAAATCCTAATCACAACCGCCGCTTAGACTGCTATTTTGCACGGATGTGAGAACAAAGAGAGGGAATGCTAGATGTACTCGCCGGCTTTGCTTGCTCACCGTCGTTCTTACCCACTTCTGTCTAACATTCCGAAATCTCACAGACAGCCTTGTCTTCTTTCCTAGTGCTGAGCTCGACTAGCCTTGATACGAGCCGATCGACGATGCAAAAGCTTTTTTGCGTTCATGATATGCGCTCGTGCATACATCAGAATCCTGTAGGCGCAGCAACGTTTGCTGTGGTAGCCTGTGGGTACTCAGAGATCAGCCATAACTAACCAGCATCGCCATTTCGTTGTAAGCAATACCAATTTCAGGAGCAAGGGCAGTCAATGTTAAGGACATAATGCTCAGTCTCTCAAGGACTTGCTATTCAGAGTCTCCGCGATTCCTGCGCATGCGGTTGTACTTCTACTTGCATGATAGCAAACCGTCCATCTTTACCCGTCTCCGGGTCGAATCCGTTGTAAACCGCTTGTTGTTCCCCACTCGCCCTTGCCAACCCCTCCACGCTTCCTACGCTCTTCAACGACGTGTTCCTAACTAACTCGAAATTATCTCGGCTGTCGTCGGCGAGGCGTTGGTGGTGTGTAACGCGGACTTCGTTTGTGACAAAGATGTGACTCCAGTTTGCGATGACGGTAGGCCAGAATATGGGCATGCTTGCGCACATTATAGCGAAATCGACTTCGAGGCAGGAGATGATCAGGACTTCGGGATACCACCAGGTAAAATCAAAGCTTTGGGTTTTGCTTTGACTATGCTTGAAGGTGCTCCAAAGACGGAGGATAGCCATGAGTACGACGCTGAACATGTCAGCGATAATTATGAAATTCGACAAACTTGGCTTACATGGAACCAAGAGCGAACAACCCAGTCATGGCGAGAACCTGTTTTCGTCTCAGGTCTGGCCTGAAGTATTCCGTGAGCGGAACAAGAAAGATTGCGATATCAAACAACATGTTCGTCGCAGCAAAAGAAAGTACCGAGTATTTCGCCTCGTTGACGGTGCGATACCCGAAGCCGTAGCATTTGGCACCGTTGCTTCTGTCCCAAAACCCAGAGACAGGAAAGCATGGTACCCAGGCCATGAAGGAGAATGTCAAGCCCCATGTTACAACCAGCGCAAGCAGTACGATAGAGACTGTGCGACGAGTGCCTTCACGAAACAGCCTTAGGTACTGTAAGAGTAGCGAGATCTTGATGAAGGCGGTGGTTGTGTGATATGCGGCATTGGTGATGTAAAGCCAAATCATGGTTGGCTGTAGTACACTGAAGGAGTATATAAGATGGTGGCCCATGCCATACTTGGTACCTACGAGACGACTTAGATAAGCCCAAGGTCAAGGCGGAGATGCTTACCGTAGAGAAAGGTTACAAGTGATACTAAATTGAATGCAGCCGCCAGGACTACGAAGAGGTCATCAAGGCCAGGTTCGCGAACAACCCGCAGACGTGTGTGCAAACGAAAGGCAACGAAAATCCAGCAAAGTACCTGTACTTGTGAGCTTCCGGGATATTCTACTCTCAAGCTGGACATACATGGAATGGTATTGTGACGCCGAACATTGTGCCTTTCTGGTTCGCCAGTGGCACAGGCTCATTTGGGTCTGGAGGAGTTTTGATCATCTCACCGATGATGGCGGTGAATTCGTCAGCCATTGTGACCAAATGCGTATGCTACGCTTCGTTCGAAAATCGGGGCGCCACTATCAAAGTCTTCGGGCGTATGAAGACATGAAAGGTTGAAGTCGCGGTATGAAGAACTGCGACCTGCGCATCAAGGCATGTTCCTGAGGGACGCTGAACCCTATGTTCCCAAGTGCCGGGAACGACATTGCGCAAGCTGATCTTTCAACAGGCTTTGCTGGTTATCCGGGCTGAATCGCATGCCGTTTGGGGATGATGGCGGCCCCTCCTTTGCCGAAATCTAGGCTTTCTGGAAATTCGAAGAGAATGCAATCGCCTCAGTGGACTGGAGATCGGGGATCTTTTTCGAATGCGGCTGCGAAGCCGTTCAGACGGGAGCGTTTCTCACGATCGAAGACTAGGGTGGCATGTCATCAGGACTAGACCACGGCGATGGTGCGACACGCGAGTCACCGTTATTCGTGAACAGCAGGAGCTGAAAACTCCACAGATGGCAGCATTACTTCTTGCAGAGTTCTTTTCAGGTTTGTTATTGCCGAAAAGAAACCCTCCAAAAGTCGACGCATAGGAAGGGTGTGGTTGTGGGCGACGACATGCTCCCCAAGTCTAGAGCTCCTAATAAGTACTGCCGAGGTGTTTGGCCCTGGCGCATCGCCAACTCTTTCGTATTTCATCCTAGTGCATGACACATCCTGCATCCTTGGACGCAGATCCAGATCGCCTGGAGCGGTGTCCACATTGGCAGATTCGAGACAACATCAACCGTAGGAAACAAGCAGCCGTGGATGGGACGAAGGATATGCCCGTCAGGTGTTGAACCCTTGAGCCTTCTCCAAGGTTGTACAAGACCAGCACCTCCTTAGGCGGAATTTCTGGCGTGCGCAAGAGTGTAGCCGCTATGAACCTATCAGAGGGCGCAAACTTACAGCTATCGGCAGACTTTCTTTTGTAGGACATTGGGATGTGCAATGATGAGGGGGGAGAGCTTCAGAGAGAGTTCAGGCGAACTGGTGAAACTACGATCACATGCGACCGTGCTTAGCTCGCGACAAGGTCCCTACGTCACCACAAGCGAGGCAAAGAAAAACGTGGTCGAGAAGGTTTTATTCCAACATCAACTCTTGCCCACAGCAGTGGAGTTGTTAGGCGTTCAACAAGTGTAATAACATGCGACAGTGTGAGGCGTGTGAAACAATTCAGATTGCGGGATACGACGCGCCGTCGACATGGCTAAAATCGAAAAGTCTATCAACTTGGTACTCCCATGCCTTTTACCCGCCCAACGCCCGTAGATGCACTAAGAGACAACGCCAGAACCGATGCGACATAGATATCATGAGTCTCAAACCTAGTCCTCCATCTTCATCTCCTCGAAATCATCCAGCAGCTGCTCCATAGGGATCTGCAGGCCTTCATCTTCATCATCGCCAAGGCTACTCTCGGTCTCCATAGCATCCGCATCGCGCTGCTTCTGCTCCTGTTGCGCCTTGTATAGTGCCATGGTCGCGCGCAAGTCCTGGTCCTCTTCAACGTCCTGCAAGAACATCTCAAAGTCGCGCTCCATCTTTTCTTGATCTTGCTTGCGAGGCAGCATCTCGCCTTCCTCCCTGTTCATACGCTTGACGCGCCAGTTGCGCTTATTCTTGTTCTTCTTGGAGCGCTGGTAGTACTTCTTGACAAGCATGACGTCAGGAATGGCGGATGAGTACTTGTTGTTGGATTCGAGGACGTCGAAAAGCTCGTTGTTGAAGTTTGTGTTGGCAAGCAAGTAACCCATTACCGAGTCGCCTACGTGTAGGATTCCACCGAGGTGTGTGCGGCAGTAGTATGTTGTGTCGTTGACGCCCATGTCAGAGGCGCGGGCTACGGTGGCCTCGGCGAGGAAATGGCGGCCGACCTGCTTACCTAGAGGCTCGATGTCGAGAACAATGAATTCGGTCAGTTCCTGTACATCGGCGAGGGGTCGGAAAGGCGTCCGCCAGTAGATGTCGGTGGCGACATCGGCTGTCTGGAGCGTCGAAGGGTCAAGTAGTTGTACTGAGGTACCGATGCGGGTGCAGAGTGTGAGGGGTGAGACGTTGCCGAGCTTCTTTGCGAGCGGGATAGGAAGGACGACAAGATCGTCTTTGCAAATAGGCACAATCTCGCACGAGAAGGAGAACTTGTAGTTCTTTGTCGAGGTGTGAATATCGTGCGAGATGAGCTCTTCGGATCGCTTGATGTTGACGGGGATGACGGCCTTGAGGAAGTCGCAGAAGGCCACGGCGTGATTCCTCTGGGCGAAGAAGAAGTCGATACCGTCGTGGACTTCCTTGATGTTGATTGTGTCCTTGTGGGCGCCATGCTTCAGAATCAGCTGTTCCAGGTACAGGAACGTCCTCTTGTGCGGCACCTTCTGTCGGACTTGTACCGACGCCCTCCATGTGTTGTGGGTGTAGCTCTTGGCGCAGTCTGGACATTGGTTGTAGTTTTGTGTGAACTCGACCTCGAAGCTCTGCTGCATGATGGCGCCTTCGTTGATCTCCGACTGCACCGTGATCTTGACCTTTATCCTCCTGCTGTGCGGCTCGGTCCAGATGAAGCTGGCGTCTATGATTCTCAACTTGTTGAGTCCGCGCAGTTTTCGCAGGCAGAGAGCGAGCAGTTCGCGCGATTCGGGGTGGGCGACGACCCAGGTCGTGGGAGGGGAGAGCCATCGGTCACAGTCGCGGCACATGAGCAGAATGGCTTCGCGCGGGATGCCGCCGGTAACGTCCGTCTTCAGTTTTATGCAGTCGTAGCAGAAGGCACCAGAGAGGGTGCCGTCAACAGGCGCGCCGCAGTCTGCGCAGAGAATGGTTGCGGCGTTCTTGGGCTCGGGCGCAAAAGAGCGCTGGCCATCCATGGTGACGCCCTCCATATGTGCGGTATCGTTTCGACGTAGGCGGGTTCGGTGATTCGAGTTACTTCAGAAACCAGAAGGGCAGGCAAAGGGTATATGGAGGGGAAAAACTAGTGCGCGAATGAGTCGTCGATTGGAAATTCCGCCAGTGTGAGGGGCAAAAAGTCTTATCTTATCGGCCGTCACGTGGCAGCCCGTCAGACGCCAGCAGGGGTCTTGGACAGTCGGTACAGCAAAACACCGATGTCATTGGGAAAGTTGTGCTGCACAACGCCATCCGACCTTTGGTGCCCGCTTTGTTGCCCACCATGTCTTTCCCAACCATCGCTTCCTCGAGGTTTGTCTGCAACGCCTGTCGCAGCGCACATATACGCCAACTTGTTCCGGCACCTAGACTCAATGGCGCATTATCACGCACCTTACCTCGGACATTCTCACGATGCGCCTTCAGCACGAGTGCAATTCCAAGATTAGACAGGAATGATCCTGCGACCGAAGACCCCGAGTTTGCATTTCTCGATGACAAGTCGAAGCTGACTGCTGCGGATGCTGTGTCGCAGCAAGACACAACAGACGTTGTGGACAAGTCGAAAGAAGCTCCACCAGTGCCCTCTCAACAAGACAACGCCATCCCATGGTACCTGAGACAACAGTCGTCGGTCCAGTCGCCCACGCTGAACCCCGCTGAAGTCCCAGATCTCCCGCCAAATCCGCCACCACTCCTGCAAACACTACTCGAATATGTTTCCATCACGGCCGGTCTGGACGATTTACAGTTGCTCGACCTCCGAAATCTCGATCCCCCGCCTGCGCTCGGCCCCAAGCTGATTATGATCATCGCAACAGCGCGCTCCGAAAAACATCTGCACGTAGCAGCCGATCGCTTTTGTAGATGGCTCCGACGTGAACACGGCTTGAAGGCGAATGCAGCTGGTCTGTTGGGTCGCAACGAGCTGAAGATCAAACTGAGGCGAAAGGCGAAGCGCATGAGAATGTTGGCAAACGTTGGTGGCGCTGCACCCGAGGGGAACATCGATGACGGCATACGGACCGGCTGGATCTGCTGTACACTTGGGAAGCTGGAAGCACATCCCGATGACACGCACATGCCAGGAGCGGATGTGGAGCAGTTTGTGGGATTCAGGGACATCAAGCCTGGCGTCAACGTTGTCGTGCAGATGTTTACAGAGGAGAAGAGAGCCGAGACAGACCTCGAGACATTGTGGGGTGGAGTACTGAGAACGCACCAAAGGAAGGATAAGAGCGCTGATGAAGCGTTAAAGGAGTTGGAACAAGACATTGAAGATCTGGAAGAGGATGCCGAAGATCCTGAATACCAAACACAAGAGTCAGCTCAAGCGGTTAACAAGTCACCCACCGAGCCCAGCAAATCTACCAGCCGCCCAGCACCCGCGCAGCAGACGTACCGCCTTCGTCCTACTCCGAGCGATCTCTTCCCACCAGCTCCGACGTCCGAGGGCAGGAGACAGATGCGCCGTTTACATACAGTTGGCTTTAGATGATTTATCAAGACGTAGTCTATGCGCTAAGCACTTACGCCGTCTCACTGAGCGAACCAACGCTACGATTGACGACTTGTATAACATGTAAATTAGTTATGAGCAGTGGGGTTGGACGTCACAAACAAGGAGACTCCGATAACAAAGTAGAAACTATCACCTGTGCACCAGCGGTAGGAATTAGCCACTAAGCAGATTTGTAAAGATGAACGCAGCAGGCAGTGAGTACGACAAAATGGAAGGCTAAGAATTGCAGACACTACATGCTACAGATGAAACACGATCGGTTCCCCTCACATCAACACAGCCATACCCTGAGCGTTCTTTCCTGCCATTCCACTCAGGTCGAAATGTTGCACCTGCTTCATGGATCCTTGGCCTCCAGATACATCCAGCACCATTATCGCCGCAGCCGTCGTCCCATTACCTGGGCTCAATGCGTAAACAAAGTCTCCTGCCGCACGCAGATCAATGAGACCAGGGTCGCCATTTGCAGATAGATCAAGTTGTTTGATAATGCTTGCGTCGTCTAGACTCATCTCCACAACACGGTTCACTCCGACATCTGTTACGAAGGCGCTGTTTGTTGCGTCGGAGATGGTAGCCCAACAGGTTGCTGCTTGGCCATCAATAGCTTGTTTCCCTTTGACTGTTGCTTGGCCTTTGGAGTCAATCGACAATACGGTAGCACCGAATGAAGCGTCAGTGACAAAGAGGGTAGACGGGTCGTTGGACAAGGTAGCTGAGCCGAAAAGCACCGCAGTTCCGTTGGGCGAGCTACGGACATCTTTCTTGGAAAGAGTGGCCGCTCCGTTTGAGGCTTGCACCGAGTAGGTGGAGAGGAAGCCCGTATTGTTCACTGTCGGGTCGCCCTTGACGGTCGTGAATAGAGCAGATTCGTCAGATGAGAAGAAAGTCTGTGAGACTGTGTTCAGTGGTCCTACAGGCGGTGTGCTTTGTCCGAGATCGAAGGATCGAAGCTCATCCATTTGCCCGAGTCCTTGCCGGGAGAAGGAAGCGCATGAGATTCCCGCTTTGGCACCTGTTGTGCCGACGCAGGCGAGCTTGTTCTTCGCAGACGCAGCGACAGTATTTGGGAATTCGCCAGGTATGGCCAAAGGCTTACCAACGCACGAGAGCGATGTGGCATCTCTTGATGATATGGTCATCATGGTAAGGGTATTAGAGCCAGCATTCACAGCGAATAGGTTCTGAATTTCGTTAGCCAAATATTCTTCGCATTCACTCATGGGAATGGAGAAACTTACGTTTCCGGCGATAGTTAAAGCAGACTGACCAACGAGCGCATCAGGCGTTGCAGGCTTTCCCTCTGCATCAACAGCAACAGATCCAGCACCACCTGTCTTCATCACTTTGCCTTTGGAGAGCATGCCATCGGCTCCAATGGGCAGTGCAACGACGGCGTTGTCGGCATCATTAGTCAACATATAGATGGCTCTTCCTACAGCAGGTTTGCCAGCATTCGGTTGTTGCATACAGCTCATGCCACCATGTTGTTGTGCCTGGTCCGCACCTGCGCGATGCTGCTGATGCGGTGCTGCTACTGCTACCGATGGAAGGAGAGCAAGGAGGATTGTTTTTGCGAACATGGTTGTAGTATGCGATGTGTTGTGGTAGTAAAAGAGAGACCAAAATTGAAGTGGAAGCGAAAGTTTTGGAAGTAACGTGAAGGAAGTGAGAAAGTCCAGCTAATCTGTTGGAGACAACTCTATCGATGGTACGCTCTTCTCTTATAGACACTGCCTCAGTACTGATGCCTTGCACTGTCACGTACCGAGATGTACTGATTATTCGATCAGGATTTCCTAATCTGGAATGGCTTGCACTCGTGCAGGATGACAGGGTCACCAAGCACACCCGCGGCGTCCCCAGGCTGAAAACCGCAAGGATTCTTCGCATGGCGCGTGAGACTGACCTTGCAGTCGTTCCTGTGCGGATCAAGTCCAAGGATGTAGGTCGGCTATGCGGTAGACACGAAACGATGCTTGTGTCAAGCGAGCGCTCGGTAGATCCATTGCCTGAACAAGGAATCTGGATCATGAAGCAATTACCAGAAAAGGTTAGCCTGGAGTTTCCGGTAGCAGACAGCCCCTAGGTCGCACAATTTAACATTGCCTCAGCTGCGCCTGTCAGACATGCCAGCCGGGCCGTTCTCATTGGCGCGACGCTGGGAATGGATACGGGATTGCGGGAAAACTAGACTGGACATCTGTTTGGCATGTATCGCTCATCGTCTTGACCACTGTTCTCATTGCACAATACCTATCAGTACTCGGGCTTGTGTAGGTTGACAGCACAAGCGTAGCAATCCATTCCTAATCCTCTTAGTGGGCGACTGACTGATCACCTGCACACCCCGGCACAGTAGAGGCTTCGTGCGTGATGAAGTTTACTTTCAAACCTTTCAAAGGTGATAAGAGTTCCCCAGACGGTATGTTATATTTGACCCGTGGTAGCCTAGGTATGAATCGCTAATAGTGATTTCGTCTACTCAGACGACGTCGATTCGCGCAATCCGGGGCAGAGGCGCAGAGAACAGGTTCGTCGAGCGCAAAAGTCCGTTCAGCCTTCATGTCCCGAGACCAATATCTTGGACTAAAATTTGTTGAATAGAACCCATCGGGAGCGAAAAGAAGCATACACTGCTTCTCTTGAAAGCGAAGTAGTTCAGCTGCGGGCGAATGAAGCCAGGCTTTCGCAGGAGGCGAAGACTTTATACTCTGAAGTTACTTTTCTGAAGATATTGCTGGCGGAGAACGGAATTGCAATACCTGAAAGACCAGAAGTCACCCATGGCGGGGAGAGAGGAGGCAATATAGTGAAGGAAAAGACGATAGCGCTGACAATCGGCCAAGAGAACAAGAGGAAGAACCGAAGGAAACAGATATACGTACAGCAGATGCCGAGAGAGCCTTCAAGTAAGTGTATTGCAGTCAAGTTGCAACTGCATTTGGTGATGATGTCCTCACTGATGGAACTCGCGCAGCCAGCCCGCCGCAACTCATTACTCCGCCATTGTCTGGCTCTACGGGATCAGGGTACACCTCTAGTACTTTTCCTGACAGTTCCACGACATGTATGGGTAGCCTCGACCCAGAAATTGTTGGAATGGACTTTGTCTTGACGTATGCGCCCTGCTTGCCCCTCACTAAGCTAGCATCGCTAAAAGTTCATACGTAGTCTCGAATCTCCCTGTTTACCACATATCGACGTCGCCTCGCCCAATAGTAGCAGCTCAGATACGGATCCTCCCACTTCGACCGGCCACGCCCTCACTGTCTCAGCATGCCTCTTCCATCATCATCCTTCGCCACCCGGCCAACGTCAGTTGTCTTCTGCGACTTGGGAAGTTCCTCATGCCAGTATAGATCAGCTATTGGCACTGTCTGGTTCTGTCCCTTTGCAAGACAGTGAAGTCACGCCCGTACAAGCATGGGACTATGTCCGGCGACAAGAACAATTTACTGGACTTGAAGC